CTGTCTCACCAGTATTCCAGTGCCAGCAGTGCCTGGGAGCTGAGTCCTGCTGGAGTCAGTGCTGAAGGGTGGGAGTGAGCTGGGGGTTGGTGTCTCCTGCCATGTCTCAGGTGAAAGGAGGAGAGGAAATGGCCTCAGATTGCACCAAGGGAGGTTCAGATTAGATATAAGAAAAAAAAAAATTCACTGAAAGGGTTGTCAGGCTTTGGAAAAAGTTCCCCAAGGAGGTGGTGGAGTCCCTGTCCCTTGGAGGTGCCCAAGGAATGACTGGACAGAGCAAGTGCTCTGGGCTGGATGACAAGGGGGGGACGGGTCATAGGTTGGTTTTGGAGGTCCTTTACAATCTTAATGATTTAGTGATTCCATGGTTTAGAGGTGACAGTGGTGGTGCTGGGTTGATGGTTTGACTTGATGAGCTTGAAGGTCTCTTCCAGCCTTGATGCTCCTGTCATTTTCCCTGAGTATCTGGAACAAGACATTCCCAGAGAACTCCCACTTTGCAGACTGAACTGGGGTTTGCTTCTGTGGATAGAAACCCATCACATCTGGCCTAAACCACCCCAAATCTGCAAGGTCTGGAGCAGGTCACCCCTCCCACCACGGGAGCCTGAGCACTGACCTGCTGTGTTCTTGTCCCACTGCCCAGGTGACACTGGACTGCCCAGGCAACGAGGAGATCCCCAGGGTGGACAAGCTGGTGGAGAAGATCCTGCACTGCAGCTGCCAGGCCTGTGGGAAGGAACCGAGCCACGAGGGAGCCCTGTTCAACGTGTACCTGAACGCCGAGGAGAACATGCCCCATGAGGGGCCCGCGCCCCACCACTACCCCCACCACCAGCAGGAGCTGGAGGAGCCGCCGGCCTCCAGCCACCACCACCACGAGGAGGAGGGCGAGGAGTGACCCGTGTGGACTGTCCTGGCAGGGCTGGGCGAGGGCTGGGGCCAGGCTTTGGGGAGGGAGGGGGGTGCTGCAGTCTTTCCTGTCAAATCGCTGCCCTCGTGTCGCCCCCGACACCGCGGGGCACAGGCAGGGCTGAGGCTGGAGCTGCAGGCTGAGACACGAGGGCTCGGCCTTCCCGGATGCACAGAGTAATAATAATAATAATAATATATTGAGAGGAGGGCACGAGGGGCTCTGGCTGAGAGCAGGGGCTGGGCTGGGCTCCCGGGGCTCTCTGCAGGCTCCCAGCCCTGGGAGGATCCCTCTGCGTCCTGCTGGGTTCTCCTCATGCCCAGCGTGGAGGAGGAAGGGAGGCAGCCTCTCCACAGTCCCAGGAGGGATTCACATCTCTCTGGGGTGGTGGGATCAGCAGCACCCCTCCTGCCTCCTCTCCCCTTGCCTGCCCACAAGGGCTCAGTATGGACACGCTCCTGGCACCCACTGGATCTCGGTCCCATCCCAACCCTTTGTATCAGGTGGCTCTTGGGGAGGGTTTTGCCCCAGGATGTGCCTCTGGGGCTGTACGTGAGGGCACTGGGAACCGTAGTGGTGATAACCCTTACCTTGCTGTCCCCAGGGCCATCACGTTGCTCCCTGGGGACAAGAGACTTGGATTGTGAGCGCTGGGGCTTCATGTTTTGGGGCTGCAGGGGAAGGCCAAGAGCTGGAGGGGGTCTGGGGTCGGTTCCACCCCTGTCCCCCCTCTCCCTGCTGCACTTTCATGGTGGTGGAGGGAGAAGGGGCTGGAACGTCCCTGTGTAGGGAGTGCTCGGGCAGGGCTGGGGGTCGGGGTGGGCACGGCCTCTGCTGCCCCTCTCTCTCTGTTGTTTAAAGCTGATTCCTTGGTGTTGTCCTGACAAGAGCTTCCAGAGCTTGTAATCGAATGCCTCCCCCTCCTTTTGACAAGTTTTGGGTTTTTTTTTTCTTAAATAAATTAGTTCTGATTTCCACTGCTCAGTGCTCTGATGCCTGTCTGGTTTTTGGCAGAGCTGACGCCAGGACAGGCAGCGGTGCCGGAGGCTGCAGGGCAGGGGAGAGCCGTGGTTCCCACAGCTTGGAGCTGCATTCCAGCTGGGAAAAGGAGGAGAGAGCTGCTGGAAGGAAAACCGAGCCCGAATCCTGAGCGTATGGGCTGCATGTGGCTGGGGGAGCCTGTCCGGGGAGCTTGCCCGGCAGCTGCGGCCGGGCGTGCTGGGTCCCCTCGTGTGGGAGGATCCTGCGGCCTCCCCGCATCACGCGAGGCCCCGGCGCTGCCGCCGCTAGGGGCCAGCCTCGGCCCGGCCTGCTCCGGCATGCCCGGCATCGCGGGCCCGGCCTGCTCGGGCAGGACCGGACAGGACATCCCTTCGCGGGGACGGAGGGGCTGGGCACCTTGGCTGGAGCTGGCGGGCTCTTCCCAAGGCTGTTTGGATCGGGCATTCCCTGGGCAGGGCAGCGGGTGCCCTTGCAAACCTCTGGTTCCAGGGGTGCCAGCCAGAGCAGCGTGGGTGTGCCCTGAGGAATGGTCAGTGATGCTCCTTGGTCTGAGCCTGGGGAAGGTCCATCAGCTCCTGGGCAGGGGGGCCAGAGGCTGTGCTGGGCCGGCAGACAGCTCTCACTGTGCCTTTATTGAGCTCAGCTCTCATTGCCCCCATCACTGAGCTCAGCTCTCATTGCCCCCTTACTGAGCTCAGCTCTCACTGTCCCTTACTGAGCTCAGCTCTCACTGTGCCTTTATTGAGCTCAGCTCTCATTGCCCCCATCACTGAGCTCAGCTCTCACTGCCCCCTTATTGAGGCCAGCCCTTATCGTCCCCTTCTTGAGGCCAGCTCTCATTGCCCCCCTCCATGAGGCTCTGGGGACTCTGCACAGGCTGGGAGAGCAGGTCTGTGCTCTGGTAAGTGGGAGAGGGTTTTCATTAGGCAGGAATTGCCACAGTGGAGGGGCTGGGCTGACCAGGGAGGGCTAGAGGTGCTCTGTGTGTTACTGTAATGTTTTTAGGCTGTGAAGAGTCTTCTCAAGGAAGGGAGCCAGGCAAAGGTGGAGAAACCTGTGGTGGTCACTGAGCACCATCATGGGGCCCTTTTACTGGTGTTCAGTGGAAACAAGCTGGATTCAGCAGGGGGCTGTTCCTGTAAACTCCAGGAGCTGCAGTTCAAGGTGTTTGGAGCAGGACATCTCCACCTCCATTCCACACAAGCTGAGCTCCAGCAGAGGCAGGCAGTGAGGGCTGGTGTGCAGATGAAACCATAAATCGAGGTAGTTAGCCTGGCTCTGCCCAAATTTAAATCCAAGGAGCCATCCCAGTTACAGCCTGGAAGGACATCTCGAGAGAACATTGCACAATTGGATGTTTCTGTGTTCAGCCCTGGACTGCCTGGATGTTCTCACTGAAGTCTCTCAACTCCCAGTTTGACTCTGCCTGTCTCATCCTTTTTTTTTTTTTTTTTTTTTTTTTTTTTTTTATATTTTTTCTCTTGACACTTGGGTGGCTGTTGACAACCTGGTTTTGCTTTCCCTGCTAGTGGTACTGCAGAGCAGAGCTGGTCCTGGAGTCCATGATCCCTGCAGATGTGTCCAGAAATGCAGCACAGGGAGAGAGCACAGACAGGCCAGGACAGCTGCCAGCATGGAGACACTTTTGCAGGGACAATGGTAGGATTTGGTCTTTATTTTAAGGCAGGTTTTTTTTTTAAAACACATTTTGTTTCAATCAGTTCAGATTCACTGCCCCAGCAAACACATCCAAACCAAGTGTACAAATCTACCATGTGTGGAGGATGTGCTGTGGATGTTGGGAAGAGGCTGCCCAGAGCAGCTGTGGCTGCCCCTGGATCCCTGGAAGTGTCCAAGGCCAGGCTGGGTGAGGCTTGGAGCTGCCTGGGGTAGTGGAAGGAGGGTGGAATGGAATGAGCTTTGAGGCCCCTCCACACCCAAACCATTCCATGACTCCATGATTCTGACCCAATCTCCTCCTCAGAAGCAGAAGCTCTGGAGACAATCTGGGATGCTCCTGGTGTGCAGCAGGGCTGAGAAGCAAGGCTGGCTTTGCACTGTGGCACCACTTCCTCACTGTGCATCCAGCTGGGAGAAGTCTGTGCTGCTGCCTTCACTCATCCTGCTCAGGGTGGGCTTGTGGTGGGGTTTCTCTCTGCTCCCAGCACAGATGGGAGATGAGGGTTTCCTGGGGCAAAGGCTTTTCTAAGGAAACCTCCTGCTGCAATCAGAGCATCACAAGTGCTGCTGCCCTGGGACTGCTGCCAGCACACTGTGACACTGAGGTGGCTGGGGAGGTTTGGCTGGGAGCATCCAAGGAGAGGGTCCTGGGGCAGCAGAGGGAGGGCAGAGCCTGTCCTGGCACACAGGTGACAGCAGCTGCTTTCCCAGTGGCAGCAGGACACAGAGATCCTGGGGGATAACTGTGTGTGTTTGTTTGGGTCCCTGCCTTCCACCTCCCCATGCCTTGCTCACAGATGGTTTCCAGGCCTGGAATGCCCATTCAGGCACTGGGAAAAGCACAACAAATTTGTTGGAAAGGTGACTGGAAGAGCAGGACGTGGTAAAGAGGCTGAGTTCTGTCCCAGGGTGGGTGGCTGGAGTGCAGTGTGCACAGCTGGCTCTCACCCACACATCTGCAGCACAACTGCCCAGGGAGGCGTGTTAAGGAAAGCTTTAGTGGGAACTTGGGGAGGAACGGGCAGCAGCTGGCAGGGCTGGGAGCACAGGGTGGGTGCCAGGAGCACACCCTCAGTTCTGATCTGTGCTGAAGCCACTGCCCTCAGTCCCAGTCTCCACAGCAGAAATCACAGCCATTTGTTGGGAAAACCCCACCTTTGGGCAGGTGGGTAATTAAAAAACCCCAAGCAGTCCCTGCCCAGCACTCTGAGGTATTTGCCCTGAGTGTGGAAGGCCCAGCAGCACACAGAGACTCAGAAGGGCTTTCTGAGCTGGCTCCTCTCACATGTTGCCTCCCACTTGCTAAAGGGCAGGTTGCTGTGGGGCCACCCAGGATTGCCCCTCAGGCAGGGAGCTGTGCTGCCCTGAGCCAGTCCAAATTACCCAGGAGCAGAGGGGCCAGGCTCTTCCTTGTCTCTGCTCCTCCATCCCTGGCTGCAGACTGCTGGAAGATCTGCTAGCGAGTCCTCTGGCTGCTGCCTGAGGGCTGTTGTGTGCAGCTGATTTTTTATTAGACTTTGCAAAATTTTGCTTTTTATCACCCAGTGTGGAGGATGGAGCCTGGAACTCGGAGCTGCCGGCTGGGTTTGGCCACTGAGCTGCTGGCTCAGGTGCCTCCAGCCAGGGCTCCAGCGCTGACACAGATGGCAGGGATGGCAGAGCACGGGGCTGTCTCTTTAAGGCAGAAACGGGAACTCTCTGGCTGCCACTTTGTGGAGTTTAGCCCAGCTCCCTGTTTTCATTAGCGCTTCATTTCATCTCCTCCTCTCCCCCCCAGCCCCACCTCCTCGATCGGCATTTCTGCATCCTTTGTGTGCATCCACAGCAGCAGGTGAAAGTCGGGCTGGCACCTGCACACACCCACACCTCCCTGTGGGCTGGACGCTCCTCTGCCGCGGGAGAGATCCCTTCCACCCTCCGGATCTTCCTCCTCCCGGGCGGGCTTGGCTGCGAGCATCCCGGTCCTCGCTTGAGGCTGCCGTGCTGCTCCTGACGGCTTTGGCTGCAGCAGCTGCAGCAGCGGAGGAGCTCTGGGACCCCGGGGACAGAGCTCTGCAGGGAGCCAGCTCAGCTGGGGGGAGACAGCTGAGCCTCGGGGGGCCGGAGCATTCCCAGCATTTGGAGCATCCTGGAGTCCAGAGCATCCCCAGCGTCCAGGGTATCCTGGGTACAGAGCAGCCCTGGCATCTGGAATATCCTGGGATGCAGAGCATCCCCAGCATCTGAAGTGCGGAGCATCCAGAGCATCTCGGTGTTGTGTTATTCTTTGGTCCAGTGCATCCAGAGCATCAGGGTATCCAGAGCATCCTGCCATCCCTGGCATCTTGGGAGCCCTGCCTTCCAGCTCATCCCCAGCATCCAGAAGCAGCATCCAGAGACATCCCAGAGCAGGGGGATTTACAGGAACTGCTGTGAGTAATGGGGAGGGAACCTTGGTCCTGCTGATCGGCTCCTGGAAATGTCACCCTGCCCTGAGTGCCAGTGAAAAGAGACAGTGGGGGAAGAGAGGGAGAGGAGGAGGAGAGGAGAAGGGAGGACAGACACAGAGTGGAGAGAGATGATCCTCCTTCCCCAGCCCCGGTGATGATCACATAGCACAGGCCACGCTGGAGAAGGTCCCCAGCCCAGGGCCAGCCCTGCCCCCGGCTCCTCATGGAGGGGGACCTGGGGGCCCCCAATGCCAGCGTGCTGGGGGAGCACTCCCTGCTCATGGGCAGCAGCTGGGTGGCTGCCTTCCTCTGCTTCATCATCCTGCTGACCACAGCGGGCAACTTCCTCCTCATCCTCCTCATCGTCACGCAGCGCTCCCTCCGCAACACCTCCAACTACTTCCTGGTGTCCCTCTTCATGTCGGACCTGATGGTGGGGCTGGTGGTGATGCCCCCGGCCATGCTCAACCAGCTCTACGGCCGCTGGGTGCTGCGGGGGGACTTCTGCTCGCTCTGGGCCTCCTTCGACGTCATGTGCTGCAGCGCCTCCATCCTCAACCTGTGCGTCATCAGCCTGGACCGGTACCTGCTCATCACGTCCCCGCTCCGCTACAAGCTGCGCATGACGTCCTGCAGGGCGCTGGCGCTCATCCTGGCCACCTGGACCTTGGCCGCGCTGGCCTCCTTCCTGCCCATCAAGATGGGGTGGCACGAGCTGGAGTTGGAGGTGCAGCCCCTGAACGTCACCGGCCGGGGGGATGAGGACCAGTGCCGGCTGCTGGTCAGTCTGCCCTACGCCCTGGTGGCCTCCTGCCTCACCTTCTTCCTGCCGTCCGCCGCCATCTCCTTCACCTACTGCCGCATCCTGCTGGCAGCGCGCAAGCAGGCTGTGCAGGTGGCCTCCCTGGCCTCCAACGTGGCCACCACCGATGAGGCCACGCCACAGGTAAGGCGCCCACAGGGACGTTGCTCTGGCAGGCCCCACAGTTTGGGTGTCTGGGCTGTTTCTGCTTCCTGGATGGCCTCAGGGTTGGAGCCAGCTTTGACAACTGCAGGGAGGGAGATTTTGGGCAACATCCACCTCCTTGACATCCTCTGAGGTGTCTCATGCCTCATCCCAGCAATGGAGAGCTCTGAAGCTGCTCATGAGCACAGAAACAGCGTGAGCAGAAGCAGAGAAATAAATAAGATTCAGGCAAAAATGCTCAGCAGTGCAAAATAAATGCAGTTCCCCCCTCTCTTGGCTGGCGTCATCCCCGAGGGGTTTAATCTTATCTGACTTTCCACTCATAAATCTTGGCCATGGTGGGTGTGAGACATATGGGGGAGAAGGATTTTAACTAATAGCAAATGCCAGATTCCCAAGAGCACCTTATTTTGAACAGAAGCTTCTATTTTTGTTACCTGCTCTATAACAGGAGCTGCCAAACCCCTCCTCGTGTGCTCGCCGGTGGAACCGGAGTGTGTGGGTTTTATAACAAAAACGTGGCTGCACTTGTTTGTATTTCTCCAGGAGAAGGTAATTGCCACTAAATCTAACAGCTTTAATTCCCTGTAATAGGCTTTATTGACCACATATCCTACAGGGAAAAGGCAAACTTAATTGCCTTTAAATACCTTGATTGAGTTTATTCTCTCCAAAAGCAGAGCCAGGACTCTGGCCAGCTCTCCCACACGTGATAAGCTGCACCAGACGGTCAAATGAAAAGGAGAATTAAAGAATAAACACACAATATGATAAAGTGCTTATTTTCTCACAGGATGCCAAGTTTTTGGACTCCACAGAGTCAGGGGATGTTCAGGGCTTTGCTGTGCCATGCAAGAGCAGCTCCATCCCCCTGTCATTCAGCTGAGGCCCAAAAGGTTCCTTGAAGACCCAGACTGGCCGAGGAACAAGGTGTCAGCCAGGGAACCCTCAGATTAATCTTTTAACCTTTTTCATCTTCATCTAATTTTAGAGATTTTTTTTCTCTTTTTGGGCCAGAAGCTGAGTTGCAACAGGGCATCATTTAATTACAGGGGAGGGCTGAGACAATCACTTAATTTTAGATTGCAGGAGGGGATGGAGGGCTGGGTTATGGTGTTTGGAGGCTGAAATGTTTCATGTCCTCATTTTAAAACCATAATTAGTTTGCTGCTGTAATCAGCAACTGGAGCTGCCTGTTTAGGACAGGCTTTATCCTCATATGGACTGAGCTGGGTGTTTCTCTAAAGAGCAGCCTAATGACAAACACGCTATTTTACAGTAAATAAAATCATAGCCTCAGTGTTGAGGGTTTCTCTTGCTTCCCCTTCCTAATTTGTGCTTCAGCGGTGTGTGCCCAGCTCCTGCCCCTCGGAGAAAGGAATTACTGGCAGGGTTTTTGCAGGATCTGGAGCACCAAATGCCACTTTTCTTTGGCAGAGGCCAGTGCTGCTGCCAGGGACAGTTGCCCACCGCTCCCTGTCTCTGGCCGCAGGTCCCACGCACCCCGAGCCAGCCCCTGGCTGGCAGCGAGAGCAGGAGGTTCACCAACAAGCACAGCAAGAAGGCTCTGAAGGCCAGCCTGACCCTGGGCATCCTCCTGGGCATGTTCTTTGTGGCCTGGCTGCCCTTCTTCGTCACCAATGTAGCTCAGGTAAGAGCCTGTGGGAGCTTTGTGCCGGGTTTCCAGAAGCTTTCCCTTTGGAATCCAGGTGGGTTCAATTGGAGGCACCAGGTCTTGCTAGACCTCCGGGACCAAGGATGCAATTCCCCAGGGAGCAACAGCAAGGAAAAAACCCTTCAAAGGGGATTTGAAGGTTTCCTCTGAAAGGGGAATGTTGGTGTGCCTGGGAAACCTCTCTGGGTTGGGGCTGAGGTGGGAGGCTGCTGATCGCTGCTGTGCTCCCCCAGGCAGTTTGTGACTGTGTCCCAGCCGGATTCTTCGATGTGCTCACTTGGCTGGGCTACTGCAACAGCACCATGAACCCCATCATCTACCCGCTCTTCATGAGGGACTTCAAGAGGGCCATGGGCAAATTCCTGCCCTGCTGCCGGCGCTCCGCGGAGCCCCGGCCCAGCGCCATCTCCCTGTCCATGAGGAATTCCAACAGCGGGCCCCGCGCTGCCACATCCCTCAAGAACGTCCTCACCCTGCAGGCTGAGACCGACTCCATCGACTCCGGGGCACCGGGGAGCGAGCCCAGGCTGCTCCCGGCGCCGCGGGGCCCTGGCGCCCGCTCCGTCAGCCTTTGGGATGCGGAGCCCCCGGACACGGAGCTGCAGCTCGGCACGCCCGTGGCCTGAGCGGGCACGCACAGCGCTGTGTGACAGGAAGGATCATCGGGGCCCAACACAAACCCTCCGGGAGCTTTGTGGCTGATTTGCCGCAAGCCATCTCCCCAGTTCCCTGTTCCAGCACACAGTGCAGTTCACGGAAGGGATGGTGGCCCCGGGCGCTATCACAAGGAGGATCAAACCGTGCAGAGCCAGGTGTTGCTGCTGAAATAACCAGCTTTGTCCCTCTCTCTCTTTCATCCCTCCTGTGCTCACCACCACCACCATCCCCTAACCCTTCCTGCAGCCTTTCCATCTCTGGTGAGTCTGAACCTCGGATTCCAGACTCTGTGTCTCACTAACCTCAAGCCAAGGCTTGGCTTTGCACACACAGAGCTCAGCAGATCTTCTCCAAGTGCACTGAGGGGAGTGGTGGAAAAACATCCTGTGGCTCATGGGCAAGAGGTTTAGAGCTGCTTCAGCAGGAACACTGAGGTTTGGGGCTGCTTCAGCCCACGGAACATCACATCTTCCTGGAGCTGGGGCTGGATCTCCTCCCTGGAGTCGCGTCTGTCTCAGGTTCCTGTCACACAGTGCGCTCCAGCTCAGCGGCACCGCTGTGCCTTGTCACGCAGAGCTGCACTGCGGGGGCTGAATTTTGTGCAGAATGTCCAACACCGATTTTTGGATGTTCAGTGGGGGTGTGGGGTGCGACTCACGGTGGCTCCATGCGTGTCTCGCAGTAGTAATGGGATCAGCTCCTCCCACAGGCTCCATCCCACAGCTTCCCACTCCTGCACAGGACCATCTCGCTTCCCTCCGACAATTCATCATGTCCTCGATGATGCAGTTAGAAAATACACTTTCCCCCCCCTTCAGATAAGAATCTAAAGGAAAATTGTATTTTAAATGACAATGCCAGCCCCCTTCCCAGAGCCATAAGCAGAGGGAACACTGAGTAAATGTGACAAGTGGGCACTTCAAAAAATCAATAAAAGAAATTATTTTAGTAAATTCTTTCTCAAGTGCCTTTGGGCTGGCAGCTAGCTGCTGCGCCCTCTCTGGACCCTTCATTCCAAGCCTTCTGCCTAATTCCAATACTGTTTTCCTGGAACTCCCTGATACCCAAATGGACACAGAGCATCCCCTGGATACAGGATGCTGGAAGAAGCAGCCACACACCAGGCCACTTTCAGTTTTCTTTCCACGTTGCCCACGGCTCTTCCAGAACCGAACAGGAGTTTGTATGACCAACCCAGCATTTCTTTGCCACAAATCCCTTGGAAGCCAGGGATGAGTGACTGGGACACACTGAGGGCTGAGCACAGACTCAAACCTCAAACTGTTCAATGCATTTTGCTGCAGATGGAGCTTGGGGCTGGTGTTGAGCACCCAGATCAAGATGTGCATCTTCCCACAATGGCTTTATATAAATACAAGCTTGGACTACAACCCAAGTTAAAAAGGAGCAGAAAAAGGTACTGTGGAGTCTGGAAGTTTGTTAGGTACCAAATCAGCCTTGGGAGATGGACGGAGAGAGAGGGAGAGTCACCTCTTCAAGCCAAATGTTCAAAAGCAATAATTCCTTCCTGTCTCATGCAGGCAGTTCTGTGTAAGGAGGTGTTTCTTGTGGACAAACCCTCGGATGAGCAGAGGAATCCCATCCCAACCCTGCAGCCAATGGCACCACCAGCAGCTGGCTGAACAGCCCCATCCCTGTGGGATCCCACAGCCAGTCCCTGTCGTCTCTGCAGTGAGGCACCCCTCCAGGTCAGAGCTGGGCAGGTCTGAGCCCCCTGGGATGCTGGATTTAGGGAGAGGAATTGCCAGGCACTGCATCCAAACCATGGTGCTTTGCTGGGTCACAGCATCACCCCCAAACTCAGCTGTGTCTGACTCCATGAGGAATGATCTGCAGGTAAGGTTTGCAGGAAGCTGGGAATGGGAGGGGGGATTAACATGGCTGTTGGGTCAGTGGGGAGGAGGAGGGGGAGAACCCTGTGTGAACAAAAATTGGAAGGTGCAATCTCAGTATTTTCCCTCTCGTAAGTCAACAGGACCCCCCCAGACAGAGGTGGGAGAGTTTGAGCCCTCCCTAGTGACAAAGCATAAAACCCCAGAGGGGGTTACCCTCCTGCCACACTCCTGCCTGGTGCACTTGCCTGGGCTCAGCAGCAAAACTGGCCAGAAAAGGGGCTTTTATGGAAGATGTGGATCATTCCCACAAGGCTCTGGAGCTGTGCTGGCGGGGGATGTAGAGCTGGGTCCTTTCCTCTGCTCTGAGACTGGGGATGAAGAGAGTGGAGCCAACACACTTTTATGGAAGGAGGTAGAAATCAAACAGATCCACATTTATTCTGTGCTAAGTATTGGCTTTGTTCTAATCCAATTAAAAATACGTCTGGATGGAGCTTTTAAGGCTGGAGATATCTGTGGGACACAAAAGGAAAGTCAAAGTGGGTTGCTGGCTTGGAGAACTCGGGAGGAATTTCCATAAACCATCCAAAACCCCCTTGGTTTTCCTCCTGCTTTCCTCCAGGGTCCCAAACATGTTTCTAACAGGAATAGGGCCTCCAAGCCTCCAACACTCACCAACGTCAGCCTGGACAGAGGGAAACTGTCTTGGAGATGGGAAAGTGCCTGAGCCCTGGCAGCAAACCTGCAGCAGGCGGGGGAAGAAAGCCTGGCAGCCCGAGCTTTTACCCTCCTGGGCAGCAGAGCTGGAGAGCAGATCCAGATCCATCCAGAGTGGGGCAGGTAGAGCCTGGAACACACCTGAGATCCTTAAACCAAACTCATCTCCAGTGCAAAAATGGTTTTAATTTCCTAGTAATGAACCCCTCTCTGTGAAATGCTTAAAATCCCCTCAGAGCCACCTGCTTCCCTCCCCTCAGTCACAGCAGGGACACGGTGCCGAGGGGGGCAGCTGCTTCCTGCAAGGATTTGGACGGGATCTGTCTCGGATTCCTGAGGAGCAGTGCAGCCTCCGGCAGGAATCAGCCCTCTCCCGCCTCGGGGAGGTGCCGTGGGCGGCTGCTCCAAGCGCTTTGATCCAGTGCCACGCCAGTGCCACACTTTTCTCCGGAGGGGCTGGAAACTGCAGCTGCAGCTCCATCCTCTGGGAATCCCAGTGCCACGGATGTGCTGACAGCGGTTTTTGTGCTGGCTGAGCAGCTCTGCCCTAATTTGCTCCCTTCCCCACTGCCTGGTCCTTGCTGTCTGTGCTGTGTGAGCAGTCTGGGCAGGGTGGCAAGGGTTCTCCCAGGGCAGAGCTGGAGGAATTTTGTCGGTGAGCACAGCTGGCTGGGAGAGCCTCACTCCCAGCCTCGTTCTCCTCTTTCCTGGTGTTTTCCTGTCCCCGAGCCTTGCTGCCAGCTGCCTGCTGGGATTTCTTGGCTTGAGGGGAAAAAAGACTGCCCTTCTCTTCCAGCTGGCATTCCTTGGTTTTAATGCCCACAGCTTTTAGGATCGTGTCCATCTGCTTCATGTAGTCCAGGTGGCCATTTACCTGCAGGGAACAAGAATCCTGTGAGGGGGAAAGCCACAGGAATCCAGCTCAGCCAAGTCCTTCATCCCAACAGCCACCACCACCGAGAGACTGGGGTTTGGCTCTGACAGATGGAAAGAATGAGGTTGGGGAAAAAATCACAGAATCATGGAATTGTTAAGGTTGGAAAAGATGTTTATGGTCATCAAGTCCATCATGTCAAGGCCACCACTAACCCATGTCCTGAAGTGCCACATTCACATGTTTTTTGCACATTTCCAGGAGTAGTGATTCCACCCCTGGGTAAGTGCAGGTGTCCATCGACCAGCCTGAAGTGGCTGCAGTGTTTGGGGCACTCTGGTGCTGGATGACTTTTCCTCTGAGAGGTTTAAAAGCCTGGCTGAGTTCCACCCCCCAAATCCTGGGTGCCAGGAGGGTAAAGGAGGAGCTCTGCCATGGGGAGAGACACCCAGGCAGGAGAGTTCTCTTAGTTCAGTTGCCTGCTCTTGCTAAAGGTGTCCTCCAGGTGCCTCAGCTCCCTTGTAAAAGCCAAGATTATCTTATTTAAATTAAGACAAAGTCATTAAATCTCACACAACTCCCAAGATGAGATGCTCAGCTGGAAGCTGCACTGATCTATCCTGCCCTGTATAAAACTGGGAGCCCAGGAGTTATGGGTTCATATACCAAATAAAGGTCAACAGTATGTGTAAAAACCCAGACAGTTTTATTGTAAAATGAATTCCACGACAAGATAACCCTTTCTGAGATGGAAGTTGGAAACTTTCCTTCCAATCAGGGCACAGGAGGAGAGGAAATCTCCTCTGCATATGATTGTTCTTGATGCTAAAGCCACGTGGCTGGAGAGGCTGAAATTCCTTCCCCATTCCAGGTGTCCCAAGCGCTTGATGTACCAACAGCATCTCCAGATACTTCAGCCTCTCTGGTAAATCCAGCTTTTAGCAGTTTAAAACTTCCTGACCCAGCCAGAGAGCTGTCTTGACCTTTTGTTTTCCCAGACCTTGCTAGTAATTAGGGAATTTGGACGGCAGGGAATACCCATAACCCCAGTCCCAGGATTCCTGCTTCTCTAAGCACAGGGATGACACCCCCAGGAAGGGATGGTGATGGTAAGAGCTTTTCACAGAGCTCTGTAAAGACCCCAGCCCTGGGCCCTCTGCTCATCTCCTGCTTGCTCCTGCCTGGTGCCAGAGCAATCCTTCAGCTGCCCTGGCAGTGCCCAAGGCCAGGTTGGACAGGGCTTGGAGCACCCTGGGACAGTGGAAGGTGTCCCTGCCATGGCAGGATGTGGCACTGGATGGGCTTTAAGGTCCCTCCCAACCCAAACCACTGTGTGATTCATGGCTGTGCCAGCACCAGGGTTCCTAGCACACCTCTCCCAAAGCTAAAGACAGCCTTTTCCCCCAAATCCAACCCCCTGAAGGTGTTTGTGTGAAGCAGCTTTGGAGGGGCACATTTGGCTGCACTGAGGGCTTGGAGCAAACGGAAGGATTTAATCAGCTCATCAGGAATACAAATATATGACTTGAATCCGTCCAGATGGCTCAATGGGCTCTGGATGTTGTGAACAGATTAGTTAATTAAAATAATTAACCATGGAAGGCCTGGGAGCTGTGGACATTGTCCTCTGGAAAAGTACAACCCTTTTACTTCTCAGTCAGGGGGGCTGGAGGAAGGAATGAGCATGGCCTTGGGCAAAGTGGGCAGAGACAGGAAGGAATTTGGTTACTGGGAGCAGGGGCTGAAGGCTCTTGGTTTGCTGCATTCAGAACCTCTCCAGTCACACCATCTGCCTGCCCTGCCTTGGGAATGATCAGCCTGTTGTTACTGAGTCATTAGTCAGAGAGAACAAATTTCCTCTGCCACCCTAAGAACTGATTTTCTTTACTCCTCAGTATCCAGCAGCTTCCACTAAAAGAACAGGGAATTCCTCTTCCCTGAGCACCATGATCCCTGAGAGATGCTGGGTATGAGCCATTCTGAGGAGCTCATGCAGCTGAAAGAAAAGCTGAGACCTCGTGAGAGTCTGTCCCTCTTGCAGCTCTGCTCAGTCTCTTCCAAAGAAACACTCCTGTCTCTAGGATAGCAGAGGAGAGGATTCCATAAAGCTGGACCAGAGCAACCCTTGAGAAGGGTAAGAGGAGGGAGGACGCTTCTCTGCTGCACTGAGCCACCAGCAAAAGAACAGCAAACAAACTGTCTTGCCTCTTTAAAGCCATCCTGGTGGGAAAAGCCAGCAATTCCAACTCACTAAAGCCTGTTTTCATCTTCAGTCTGAAAGCCTGAATTCCTCTGCTGGGCAGGTGGTGCTGGAGATGGGAGTGGAACACCTACAACATTGTCAATAAAAACTTAAAAGGCAAATAAAGAATTATATTTGTCAGAACAAAGTGCAGGGGAAATTTAGGACAAAAGGAAGTGTGCTTGGCACCAGAGCAAACACATTTTTGCTTGTTGTAAGGAAAGCAGTGGGGTGGATTTATTGGGATTGTTTAGGTGACTTGCCTCAGATATATTTGGTTGACTGATCCCAGTCAACCATTTGACTTTATGGTTGCTTTGGCTCACTGGGAGCCACGAGCCAGATGCCTCTGGCACTGCTGCTGCAGGACTCCAGTGCCACGCTGGGGATGTCCACAGGACAAAGCTGATGGCTTTGCCCAGGAAGATCCATCAGCCGGTCAGCTCAGCATGTTTGGAAAGGTTTTCAGGTGCAAATCCACCCAAAAGTATCAAAAAAGTCCCTGAGAACAATCAGTTATGGCAATTAAACTGCCAGGGCAGTGTTTTTGTTGGATACAGAGGATTAACAATCCCAGCTTCTCTCCAGTTTGACCGCCAGGAACTCGGCGTGTCCCAGAGCAGGTGCTGCCAAGGGAAGGGCAAGGAAGGGCCAGGAGAAAGGAGCTATTCCCCAGAATGCCAAGGGAAGGGCAAGGAGAAAGGAGACATGCCCCCGAATCCTGGCTCTCACCGACTCAGGCACAGCCAGGACTCAGTCACAACACGGCTATCACAACACTGATGTCACATCAATGACATCACAGGGACAAGCTCGGTACAGCAAGATAACACTTCATTGCTCACTCCAGAGCCAGGAACCTTCAGATCCCGTCCAGTGTCCTTCAATAAAAGCTCCTCCACCCATCCCAAGCAGCCAGCACAGGAGTGCACATGGCTGCAAATGCTCTGCAGGGCTATGGAACTGTCAGAGCTCAGCTGAGTGTCCCTTGCCCCTCTGCTCCCTGTGGGCAGGGGAAGGACATGACAGCTCAGCTGGGCCTTCCTCCTGCTCCCCCTCAACAAACCCCCCCATGGATTCACAGGGAATCACTGTGGAGGCAAGCAGTGTGGTGGGGAATGCACAGGTCACTCATACACCTGAGAATTTCACTGCTTTGATGTGTTTTAAGCCCATCAAGTCCACAGACCAACTTTATTCCACAGCAAAAGATTCCCTCAAGTTCAAACACCTCTGCAGAGCTTGGTTATCTCAGCAGGAGCAGCAACAACCTTGGAGGGGATCCTTCAGGATTCCCTATTGGCTAATACTGTCTGTTTTCATAGCAAATGGTATTTTGTGGGGGATGAAGGAGTTCCTGGAGTGAGCTGAAGGTTCTGGAGCTCAGTGGACAGTCACAGCTCACCTGCCCTGGGTGTCACACACAGAGTGAAACCAAGCAGCAGAGCCAGCTCAGCCCCTCTGGGTATTGCTATGTTTTACTCTCCCTTTCCCAAAGCTACAGTGAGTGTGATGTCCAGGAGAAGCACTGGAGTCCAGCCCTGCTCTGAACTGAACTGCCAGGTCTGGAGCTGTCAGTGCAGAAGGGAAGGAGCTGAAATGTCTCTCCTGCTTTCAAAAATTCCTCAGTTCTGGATGCTGCCTCAGAACCCACACAGCCCAAATGGTGGCACAGGCTGATGGATTGCAGGGCTCCCAAGCTCTGCCAGGCTATCCCTCAAAATCCAGTCAGCTCTGCCAAGTTGGCAGGCTTCTTTGGTCACAGATATTCCCACATGTCAGTGAAAGCCTTAATTCTGACTGGCTACATCCTGCATGACAGAGGGCATCCACAGAATCCCAGAGTGGCTTGGGCTGCAAGGCAAGGGACCTTGAAGATCCTCCAGTTCCATCCCTGCCATGGGCAGGGACACCTTCCACTGTCCCAGGCTGCTCCAAGCCCTGTCCAACCTGGCCTTGGACACTTCCAGGGATCCAGGGACAGCCACAGCTTCTCTGGGCACCCTGTGCCAGGGCCTGCCCACCCTCACAGGGAAGAATTTCTTCCCAATCTCCCATCCATCCCTGCCCTCTGGCAGTGGAAGCCATTCCCTGTGTCCTCTCCCTCCATCCCTTGTCCCCAGTCCCTCTCCAGCTCTCCTGGAGCCCCTTTAGGCCCTGGAAGGGACTCTGAGCTCTCCCTGGAGCCTTCTCTTCTCCAGGCTGAACAATCCCCTCTCAGCCTGGCAGAAAATGTCCTGGGTTTTCCCACAGTTTTCTGACAGCTCATGGCAAAGCCCTGATGCTGCCTGGGCAGAGGAGCTGGAAAACCAGAGACAGAGCAGATTGCACATCAGGAAACAGAAAACATTCAACATACCTTGACACAGGCTGTGCTGAATGTAGTTGGAATAGGAAAAAAATTCTTCTGTTTGGATCCTCAGGAAACAATGTCAAAGTGAGGACAGTGAATACATCCAATAATTCAGAAGCTACAATTTAAATGGATTTATTTAAAAATTTATTCAATTCACCAATTGAATTTGGCACCTGCAGCAGTAGTGCATCCTGGGCACCAGCAATCCTTGAGAAACCAATAAAAAATGTATTTGAGGAAAAACTGACAGAGCTGAATTTATTTTGGAAATCTTGACAATGCCATTTGCATTATTCCTCTTTAATGTTTCTATTTCTGCTCTGCCAAATTGAGGGAATAAAGACTTATTCTGCTGAGGCTCAGAGGCTTTGCTTTCACATCATCCCTTTGCACAATCACAGTCCTTGTGGACAGAATAAGGCATTCAATTCTTATTTTTCTTCTAATTTCAAAACTCACTTGACTGGTAAAAGTTCTTCTTTCATTGCAGTGATATTTTTTTAGCCAGACTGTAATTTTTCCCTGCAATCATCTTTCAGCCACAACAGATTGATCCAGTCATTGTCACTTCTAGGGTGGTAATTGAGGGATGTTCCCCTCAGACACCCTCAGGCAATTTGACACCAAGGCAAGAGTTTTTTCCAAGAGTTTTTTCCATCAAACTTTGATATGTTTTGTGATCAATGTTGAAAATTCTGAGTAAACACTGGCTTTTGCTGGATTCATCCATTGCTGAAAATCTCTGCCAACTTTATTCTCAATTTACCTTCAGCAATTCCAAGAGGAAGATGGAGAAGAGTAAAATACAGAATACAACAAGAAAACCTAGGAAGCAAATGGAGGAATCAAATTCTGGAGATCTAAGGGACAAATTGAGAGCAGCTGTACATTAGTGACAACAGACAGCACAAAATTGGGAATTAATATTCTGAATTAGTAACAGAGTCCTTGAAAGAGTTTCAAGGGAAATGTGCCTTCACAAATGTCCCTCTGTTGGCAGTAATTCACTCCAAGCCATCCCCCTGAAGGAAACAGCTCTTCCATTTATTTTTCAACTGTTTGTGGAGCTGCTGTTGACTATTTTTTGTTGATGCTCTCCCCAACAACTGCCACTCGTTTATAAGGTAGCTACACTTAAATAATCATTTTTTGGTGCTAATCCAAGTGAAATTTAAATTCAATGGTTTAAAGAGTGTTTTAAAAGACCCAGTATAAACTGTGCATATAATTATCACTGGGAAATAATTTGGACATAATGTCTTGGGCCATGGAGGACAAGAGATCCCAAAAATAAAGACTGGATTGATGCACTGAATTGGAGTGTTCCTAGAAAGAGCTTAGGGGATGCAGGTGTCTGCCACTAGAAACCACAGCAGGCCACTAGTGACCCAAAATACTGGACATATTGATCACACCAGGATTATGGAAAAATCTTCAGGATTCCTCACAAGAACATTGAGATGAGGTTTGGTGTCCATAACCAGAGGGATGCACCAGGACCAGCCTGAGGCAGAGGGTGACTCCTGTAACACCCAAAGGGCTTGTCACCCTTCCTCTCCCCATCCTGTTCCAAGAATACACAAGATTTGGCAGCTCAAACATTACCATCTCTGCTGATTTCAAACCAGGTTCTCAGCTCAACCCCACAAAACAAGGTCACCTGAGATTAATTAAAGGGATTTTTGCTGATTTTGGGGACAATGACCTGTTCTGACTCATCCGTCATGAGCTGATGGCAGTAATGTGTCTGGGCAAGAAGTCTTGGGCATTTGGAAAATTCCAAGAGCTGTGGAGCAGTGCCATGTCTCTCCTCAGCAACGTGATATCCCATAAATCCACCTCATGGGGATCTGCAGTAGGTTAAGCCCTCCCCTTCCCCCAGTGTCACCAGGGCAGTGACACCTTCGTGGTATTTCAGTGACATTCAGCTCCTATCAATAATTCAGCTGCTCTAATTGCAGCATCTCAAACACATGATGTGCACAAGGTGTCAGCAAAGTCAGCCTTCCCCCTGATTAACACTTCTAATTGGCTGTTGCACTGGGATTTTGTTTCCATGTTAGCTGAGAAGGTCAGAATGGGAGCTGAAAGGGAGCAGAGAAATAATACAGAATCAGTGTTCATGTTCCAGCAGAAGACAGGAAATTAAAAGCTGAATTTTTTATCCTTAATTCACCTGCCTGGGCTCTGTGTGGCCATTTCTGAGGAATCCAGCTGAACAGTACATTGGGAAAACTCCCACTGCTTTGCTCCAAGAAGGGCTGGGATGGGGAAAGCTGCCTGCAAAGTCAACAGCTACAGACCTGCCAGCTGCAAACCAGGAAAGAATAGGGGTGCAGTGCCTGCACTTGCAGGAATTGTCCCATTTCCACATGCAAAGTGCTCTAAGGGGGAATAGAAAATCTGTCAAAGGTGATGTCAGTTGTTATGTTTCATGGGAGAAAGATGTACTGGCATCCCAGCTTTGCTGGCTCTGCAAAGGAACAGTGAATTTCCTCTGCTGGACTGCATTTGATGGAAATACAGACCACGCGTGAGTCACTCAAACGTGGCATTGGTTCCCTCAGCTCTTCTGAAGGAGAAGCTGCAGTCCCAGGAATTCAGCCCTGCCCAGGGTAGCTGGGGACTATGAACACTCTACACACTCCACAGATAACGTGGGAATCCCCTGTGGAAGGATACACACGTGTTCCAGGCACCATGGGGGAATGGGAAAATCCCGCCTGTAGATCTGCAGGAAATTGTGGCTCTCTGCTTGTTCCCAGTTGTGGGAATTTGGGCACCAGCCTTATCAAATATGAGTCCTGTAAAGTGGTTCTCTCTGCCTTTAGAAGCAGCTGAGCATCCCCAGGCTCCCTCAAAGCACATCCAGCCGAGCAGTCCGTGTGTGCTGGAGCGAGGAGGGACATCGGCCTTTGAGGTTTGTGAGCCACAAAGCAAAAACAAACTGCAAGTTATTAATGGCCTTCTTTGCACTCTTCTTTTGGAAAAGCTTTTTTAGTTTCTTCCTCTGTTCTAACACAGTGACACTGCCAGCACCCTCTGCTTGTGTCCCAAGGGGAAAAACATATTGAATATGCATTTAATGTGGGATTCTTGGAGCTCCCAAATCAACAGCAACGAGGAGCACAGAAGATGAAACCACTGATGATTCCAGAGGTGTGGAAGCCATCCCTGTGACCTCACAGCCTAACAGACAGATGGAATTCTTTCCACAAGGCCCTGCATATTGCCCTGAAGGGAGAGGGGCTCTCCCAGATCCTCCAGGCAGCTGCCTGAAGCCAAGTTCTGCTCCAAACTCCTGTTCCTCTGATCCTGCCCTTGGGGAGGTGGCACTGCTCACTGGGAAGAAGTGAAACAAAGGAGCAATGACATACTGGCAACCTTTTTTTGCCTTTCCAACTCCCCAGGGTTTTTAATTAATCCACATTTTGTAACCACAATTAATTCTTTGCTGCAAGTCTTGGGAATAGAGTGGGTAAAACCACAATTTAATGTGTTTGGAGAAAAAAAGCCTGACTCACAGAAGTGCCAAATCAATGGATTTCACAAAGTTCAGACTTTCCATCTGCTTATGATATACCTGAGTGCCTTGAATCTGTCTTCCCTCATAATGGGAATTTTGGTCCCTTTTCTGAGAGCTGACAGGAGGGTGGATCCAGGTGGGGGGTTGGTCTCTTCTCCCAGGTGACAAGTGGAAACGGCCTCAGTCTGTGCCAGAGGACATTTAGAGTGGATATTAGGGAAAATTTCTCCATGGAAAGGGCTGTTCAGCCCTGGCACAGGGCAAGGATGGAACTCCCTTTCTCAGAGGGATTTAAGAGCCATGTGGATGTAGCACTTGGGGACATGGGTTAGTGGTGGCCTTGGCAGTGCTGGGGGAACAACTGGCCTCAATGGTCTCTTGAGAGCCTTTCCCTGCTCACAATTTCCATGATTCTAAGATCCATCCCTGCTCTCACCTGGACTTCCAGCCATGCATTCTCACTGCCCCTAACTGCTGCTGCTGTGAAACTGTCCATTCCTGACTTGTTGCTGACTCCTGAGCCTCCCTGAAGGTGCTACTTGAGCAGTTCTGCAATATTCACATATTAATTCAGACTGCACTGAACAAACTCCCCTGGGAATAAACAGCAATCAGGATAATCCCCTGCAGCTCCACAGCTTCCTTGGTCTCTAACAGGTGCTGTCAAATAAATCCACAGAATAAATCAGCCCCTTTGTAACCATGAGGAAGGATTTTATAACTGCATTTGCTGAGTGGGAGGACATTTTTCTCTCTGCTTTTTTACTGACAGTCAGATAAAACCACACTAATCAAGAGAGACATGAGACAGAGGCCTTGGAGGTGAATTGCTGTTTATACTGAGGGCTCCTAATCCTCCACTCTTTTGAGGATTCTGGTGCTACCACAGCAAAGAGAACCAAGCTGTTTGGATACAGACCAGTTTTCATTATGGATGGACCAGGAGATGCCAAAAATACTGATGGTGCCTTCGTAATATTTTCATGCTGAGCACCTTTGTATCAGCTATACTTTATTCTTCTATCACAGCTTGTCCTTCTCCTGGCAGGACACTCACAGGGACCTCCAACAAGGGCAACTGCAGGGGTGGAGCTGGTCTCCAGAAAGAAAATACCTGCATCTCTATATATCTCTAAATATCACTTTTTTTTTTCTGTTATGCTACTGCACTGTACTCGCAGCAAAATCCATCTTTGCTTTCTTGCCACTTTAAAAAATATTGCCCCTGGATATTTCCTTCCCCATTCTTGCTCCTTTTATTTCTAAAATGTTCACCAGAATGCACTGTATTTCTTCCCATGGTCTGGAAAATGGATCAAGGCAATGACACCTACTTAACATACATTTTTCCTCCCCAAAGCTTTGCAGTGAGATGAAGGAAGTGTCAATTCCTTCTGAAGGAGAGCAGCACTGGGACTGACTGCTGGCAGCAGGCAGCCAGGATGCAGACACACAGCCCTGGGAGATGAGCAGGGAGCAGCTCTGCAAACCTTATTCATTCAGCTGAAATGTAAATCCTGCTCCTCTGAGGGGAGTGGAGAAGCTGCTGTGATCCAGGCAGGATAAAGTGTGCAGGGCTCCAGGGGGTTTCATGCTTCAGGAGGCAGAGGGTCATGAGAAGGAGGGTCTCTGAAGAGAACTCAGAAAGAGAGGGGTGACATGGACTGACTGACAGGAAACGTCACCCCTGTGCCACCACTTGGCATCTTGGGCCATTTTCATGCCAGCAACGAATGTCAGAGAGCAAATGAGTACTGGCAGCTCTGGGACGGTGAGAAAATGGGTGTGGGAGTGTGGAAATGCTGACAACCCAGAGAGATGCAAAGATACATGGGCCATGTTTAAAAGCCTCCACTAAACCCCCTCCCCCTGGGAAGCCCTGTTTTGTTCCTCCAAGTGTCTGTTCTCTCTGCTCAGCACCAAGCCCTGCGTGTGCTGCCAAGGGCTGTGCACAGCTCAGTTATCATGAATGAAATGAGTTGAGAACAGTTGGGTATTTATAGGCTCAGCAAGCTGGTGCTCCAAAAAATCTAAAAGCTCTTCAAAGTGCCTTTAGCTCCAGAGCAACACTGACAGTCCCTGCCAGATTGTGGGGACACTTGGGAAGAAGACCCAACCATGGAAGTATCCTGAGCTTTGTGCTGGGCATCTTCCAGTTTGCAGAGAGTAAACAATAAATTAAAACATTAAGATATGGAAAAAACACAATGACATGTCCAAGATTTCTGTGAATATGGATACACAAGATAAGTTCTGCTTAGTTTTCTGTGGAAGAGCTCACTTCTTCTGTGAAAGAGACAACAACGTGGTGATGAATTTAAGTTAATTGAGTTGAATATTGCTTAGATATATTGCCAGATGTTCTAACAGTGGCTTATCACTAATGACACCAGACAGCTTTGAGGAAGCTAAATGTTTCCCAGATATACCAGTGAATCTCTCCCTGTTTCCTGGAGACAAACACTCCAAAAAGGCAGCAGGACCTGGCAAACCAATCATTGCTATCACAGAGCTTCTGTAATTCCAAACCAGTTCCGGCTCCTGCAGCCCTGGGGACCAAGGTACAAGGGCCAGGAGCCTGTCCCTGGCTGAACCTGAGCAGTGTGGAAGGCTCCACCAAGATAAGATAGTGGGCTGCACCTGCCATGCGGGCGCGTGTTTGGGATCCACGTTTTCCAGCTGCTGATCCCACCTCCCCGGGATCCACACTCACAGGGCTTGGGACTCAGCTCTTTCCAACCCAAACCATTCATGATTCTCTGACAGCAAGGCCCTACTTGAGGAGTGACACCATTTTCTATCTCCACTATGAGATATGTCAGAAACAAAAAACCCCAAACATATCCAACAGGAGAGATAGATTCTCATTGTTTTGCTCAGTGTTGAGTGCTAGCCAGGCCAACAAAATCCAGAGGGAAGTGTGGATAAGAGTTCTCTCAAAGACAGGAAAGAGGGACAATGTACCTAGAGGGGCTGTCTTCAGTCCCCAGATTCCCCAGAACAGTCAGTGTGGGGTTACAGTGCTGTAGACAAAGAATGATGGAGAAAAAATGAGAATATGAGAACTTACCACAGAGGACAGGTCCATGTTCACCATCCTCCTGTCATCCAGGTCGACTGGCTGGAGGCCTGCGACGTTGAGCTGGACAGAGGAGGTTCTGTAAACAAAGCTCAGCAGCCAGTCCCCCCTGGAAGCAGAGAAGAGTGGGAATAATCTTGTTGCCCAGCCAATGCCATGTGGAATCAAAGAATTCCAGAATAGTGTGAGCTGGAAGGGACCTTAAAGCTTATCCTGTTCCACCCCCTACCATGGGCAGGGCACCTTCCACTAGATCAGCTTGCTCCAAGCCCTGTCCAACCTGACCTGGAGCACTCCCAATGTGTTACTACTCAGACCACAAGGAGAGTGGATGTGCTGGGAAGCACAGTGATGTCTGGACCAAGACCTGCTGCAGGTGTGTGTGATGAAGCAATCACACCAGGAATGCTTGCTGGATTCAGGGCAGGTTCCTGGGACACAGGGGTGTAAGTCTGAACTGAATCCTGATCCATGGCTGTCGTCTCTTTACCTGCAGTGAGTTTAAAAATCTGACCCTTCTGTTTATTTCTATGTTTGCTCAGGGTTTGCACATTGACGTATTTCACCTTTTTAATGCACTGATAGGTTCTCCAGGCCATAAAGCTGTAAAAGTGATGAGACCTACAACACTGATGTTGTGACATAAATATTGACTGTGAAGCTCCTGGGAGTGCTCCTGATTTATAGGTACTGTAGAAATACATGGCTTCAGTGACAGAACTAGGAAGGGTTTGTTCCCACTCTAAAGCAGTGCCATAAGTCACTGTGACAGTTTCAGGGTAAACTGTAGCATGAGGACAGGAGGAAATACAAAACTCTTCTAAAGTGAGCAACAGCATAAAATCTGGGTACTGAAATGCCACTGTACTCTACAGAGCAGATTTAAGTGGGACATGAGTGAGATTTGTGCTCTGTGATGGCAGCAGGTGAAATGCTCCTGGCAAAGGTGCCCATTCCTGGCTACTCCCAAATAATCCACACTAGGAGTTGTAAGTCTACGCAGAGCCCTGCAAAACCTTTACAACACATTCACACTGCTCAGGTGTGGGTTCTTTCAAAAGCTGAGCCAGTCCAACTGATTTGGGTGAGGTTTCCCACTGGGAATTTGCAGCTCTGCTGTTTAAGTGGGATGGGACAGCTCCAAGAGCTGACAGGGCTCTCACTCACCCTGTACCCTCATATTCCAAAGCCAAAGGAGAACAAGGACTGAAGCTCAACAACTGGGCTCAAATCTGATCTCACAGGAATTCTATTCAGTGTAATTCATCCAACCTAAACAGAGTTACTCCTGAAGTGACAGAATGAGGCCACCCTTTGTGCAAGCAAGAGACCAGAGAAATCAGAATCAGGTGAGGCCTTACCACAAAATGTCTGTATAATCTTTCTCTCTACCTCAATCCTCACAGAAATTCCCCAAATGTCTCAATTCCCTCCTCTAGCTGCCCCTCATGTTGCCTGAATAACTCTCTAGACACACACACTGTATTTTATTCCAACAGTATAGGCAGGCTTAGAAACTGTAACAAGATCTTTTTTGTGTGTCTGTGTGCATGTTTAGGAAATGGATACACCGAGCAGTGATACAGTGAAATTTTTTTTGTAGAACATAGACAGGAAGAATATTTTCTGGGTAAACTCAGTTATATGCAACAATTTCTATAATTTATGGCTTCTTGGAGGAACTCAGAGCACTATGAGGGAGGCAGCTTTTCCTTATGGCACAGGAAGAAACATTGCAAGTGGTATTTACATCTGGCATCCTTGAAAATCCTGAGATCCAAAGAGGACAAAAGCAACAATTCCCAGCCTAGCTGAAAGATAGGATTGATAATTTGTTGTTTTAACCTTGAATACTTTAAATTTATTTATTTAATTATTCTTTCTAAGTGAAAACACTCTGTTAGAGTCACAGTAATGCAGTACTTCCCCACCTTCCATGTACGTGTGTAGGCATCCCTATGGATTTGTGCATGGAAAACACCAGCAGCATTTTCACCTGTCCTTGACCCGAGGGCTCACAGCTTTATAAACTGTCTTGACTTGCAGGTTCTTTGCTAATTTTCTTGCCTGGTTATTTCTCAATTTATTTCCCCATGTTCTTAGTCTTTCCCACTTATTCCTTGGTTTTAATTTCCCCTTATCTAATTGTGCTGGTAAGCAGTGTTCCTGCCACAATTATCTTCCAAGACACAGTCATTAGGTTTGAAGCTGTCACTTGACTAGTTAATAGCTTTACTGAGATTGCTTCAGCTGTTTCAGGCCTCTTAACCTCCCTCTTCTCACCTAGCAGCTCCCATAACTCTGCACAACAATTGTCTGCTTTTATTTCTAAAATGTTTTTCAATGTGGTTTTAAAGGGCTGGTATTTGTTTGGAAGACACTCTTTGTATTCTTTCATATCCTTACTAAATTTTCTATAGCTATTCCAGCTATTCATCCTTTGCAAGTTAAATGTCTTGTTCATGTGGACTATCTTGACCAGAAACCCACTCCAGACATAAAACCCTTCAATTTGCTTGAGCTCCTTCCCTTCCATTGTGATTTTCACATATTTTTCCCCATAAGCAGCCACAAGTGAACTGCACCTTAAAGCTTTTATAGATGCTAATTCCCATTCTTTAAGTCAGCAAACTTAATGCTGTATTTACTGCCTTCACACAAAGCTGAGATTTAAAGAGCCTTCAGAATATATCAGATTACACACATAAACACACTGACCCAGCTGCTTTAGGCTGTGAGTAGTGGAACATTGTCCCTCTATGAACATGGGCTTCCAGTGGCACAAAGAGCCAAGAGCTGCATCAAACAGGCTCCAGGTGCCTCCTGAAGCTGCCATCTCAAAGGGATCTGAGGCAGAGGCCTGGAGGGACGAGGCTCTGGCACTGCTCAATGTCCTCACCAGCACTCACAAAGTACTTGAAAGGGATAAATGCCCCAAACCATTTCCAGGCTAACAAGGCTGGGCACTGAGCTCACACTGACCTGCAGAAGCCATTTATGATCCTGCCTGACACCACTCTGGTGAGAGCTCTCCAGTGCTTGGCTTCTCCTTCCACTGGAGCTCCCAGTAAGACAACGTCTTCAATGATCCCTTGTGAGTCTGTCAAGGAGAAAGCAGAACAGTTCAGATTCAGAAGATGGATCAGAAAATATTCTTATGTGAAGTGTGTTCAGATGTGCACTACACAAAGATCATAATTTAGGTGGCTTCAATTTGAAAGACGGAAACAATGGAAAGGAGGATCATAAAAACTGCACACAACTTAAGTGTCCACAATCCACCTGGAGTTAGTAAATGTGAAAAACTGAGATCCTCAGACAGTGCAAAGAGGGAGAAGTGGGATGGCAAGAGGGAGAAGTGGCCTGGCCTCTGCCCAGAAAGGTGCTGTTCAAGCAGAAACCTCTAGAAAGGTCTGGAAACCCCTGGAAAGATCTTTCTGCTGACTCACTGATGTGGGTTTGCACAGAGCTTTGAAACAGCCCCTCTGTGAAAGGGTCTGAGATCCCACAGAGTGAGCAAATGTTGTCATACGTGAAGCATGAGGAACTCTTCCCACAGCTGATTCCATGAAAAACATGACCTGAACAGGCAAGAGGAAATCCCAAATTGTTAATATTGATTTGGAAGTAGCAACAATGGAGGGACTTGCCAATAACCAGTGAAGATCCATCAAACTGCTTTGATTTCCTTCTGCTGTAACCTGAACGCCCAGGGCCTGATTTGCTGAACAGCAATGTTGACTTTTAAGCATAATAAATCTTCCTCACTTATCAGAGAGCTGCAGCTGGGCAATTTCAGGAGGAATAATGATGGAATAAGAAATATTGAGCAGCTCTGCTACTTTCCTAAACTCCTGAACAATATATCAGTATCTTCCATAAATCTTTGTAAAGAGAAATGAGGCCTGTGATGCCACAGCAGTTAAATGGAAGACTCATGAGCAGAACATTCCAAATCCATACTCTGCACCTGTGGGAGACCAGGTCCCACAGACCTGAGCTGAACTCTGCATTTGAGGGAGAGGTGCTGCCTGGGCACTTCTGAAATGCAAATCACTTAGCTTCCTTTCCCTGAGAGCAGTAAAGGATTGGAGCTGCCTGCAGTGCCTGCAACCTTCTCTGCTGTGTAAATCCCATGCCTGACAAATCCAAATGAGCACTCCTGGAATTATTTATTATGGCAGAGCAATTTTTGCACCAATCAAAAAGAGCAAAGAGCAATTCAATTTTGTGAGTGTAATCTGTGAGCAATAAAGCCCTGTTCCCATAATTATGGGCAATGAAAAGGAAACACAGAGTCTTGCAGGAAGCTCATCCCAACCAAGGTTCTAAATTCCATGTCCATGGTGTGAGCCAAATGAATAAACAATCAGCTAATTCATCAGGATCCTGAATATTTGGGCAAGGTGTTGGAAGCTTTTGTTTCTCCAGTCCTTTATCAAGCTTATTGCTTGCTCAGAACAAAAAAAGTTTAGCCTTGGCTGAAAAATGCTCATTTTCTTTGAATGTTGACAGGATAGAAAGCTGGGAACAGATCATTAGCCTGCAGAGCAGCTGAGGCTCGAGATAAATGAAATCTATTTCACAGTTTGTAAATCTTTTAGATGATGAAGAACAATAAAGTCTGTAAAAGCGGTGAAAAGAAAAAATTAATTAATTAACCATTTACCCTCATAGAGAGTGGCTAATGAATAAGGAATTTTATAAAGGAAAATTTCCAATCAAGTCCAAGCAGGTGAGAACAGAGTGAGAATGAGAGGCCAAAATTCAAACCTGATTAAGATGATTTCTCCAGAAAAGGTGTGGAAGAAAGAAGCTGTCCCAGAGACCATAACCAATCCTGGGAGCTGGCCTTTGCTGTGCCCTATGGATGCAACTCACTGGGAAAGGGAAAGCAGCTCAGCACATCAGTCTTGACTGGAGGGAGAACAGCACTGAAATTCAGCTCTGGCTGTGTACAGATGTTCCAGGGCAGAGCTGGCAGCAGTATTCCCAACAGGGAGCACAGCAGGGATCACAGCCCGGTGGGATACTGGTCACATGAGCTGTGATCAGTACCAAACACCCAGAGTGTGACACCTCACTCCTGTCACACACAGCTGGGTTTCAAGGTTTCGTCTCTGGTGGTAACAGCCATTATCAATTTGCATTAGTTTGCTAATTGCTAAGTATTTACTAAAAGGCATGGGAATCACGATGAAGAAATCAGAGCAATGATCCTCCCACGCAGTAACGTGTCTCTGATGGCTCATTTACACCAGCTTCTACCATATTGTCATTTTCTGGAAACCTACTGAGCTCTGGCTCCAGAAGTGATCTGTGATGAACTATCCAAAGGTTGTTCCATTGCTTTGCAGAGAAGCATTTGAACAGAATCTGTGTTCCTGCCATGGTGTTTCACTGGCCAATCCATCATTAGCTCTTTGTCCTCAGAAATGCCAGTGCCATCTGGATACAGGGCCCTGCATGACAAGGCCGTATGTTCCTTTCGTGTGAGACATCCAAGTCCAAACCCAAATCAGTCTCAGCTGTCCCAGGTCCCAGCTCTGCTCCTTCTGTGGCTTGCTCTGGAATGTGCCTGTGAGAATGCCTTGGCAATCTGTGCTGAACATGCTGCTTTTCATCTCACAAACAGCTCAGCTTTCAGAATTCAATTAAGGAACTGAAAAATCAGTGTATGGTGGGAGCTGTTCTGATGCATCACCACGATACTTGCGTTTCTTTGGAGTGGCAGCCAACCTTCCAGACCCCTAAGGATTTCCTCCCTAAGCTATGGGCCCGTGTCATTCCAGAGCCTGTAGACTGAAATAAAAACCTGGAAATACCTCAGCCCTTGGCATTCTCAGGACACAAAAAGTGTAGATCTAGGGCCAGATTAAGAGCTGGTTCTGGCTCCAGTGTAACTCCATAAGGATTATTCTGGATTTGATTATATTTATTTTGAGAACAGAATTCCTGTATTTGAAGACTTTTATCTTAAATCAGAAGTGAAGTTCTGGCATGCATCTGTCAGTCCTGACCTTCTCCATGCTCACTTGACTCTGTTCCCACCTTCTTGGACTTTACTGGACATTTTCCTTTATAAAATTTCTTAGTTATGATTTACTGTGAAGTAAGTGGTTAATGAGTTAAATTGCTAAGTGGGGGGAAGGCAGGCTGCACACACTCACTGCTGACTCAACTCCAAGATACAATTTCCATCAACTGATCATAACGATTTTACTCTTTTTTTTTTCCTAAATTAAAAATAGAAATCTATTAATAAAGAGAACCACAATGGGTAATAAATTGGCAGATGGTTTTATACTTGACTTTGGGGGAAAATTACCACGAAAATAGCAGATGACAGTGGCATTTCAGAGACTAAAATGGAAGGCAGGACTCAGGGAATCAGATACAAGAGCTGCAGAGAGCTCCCAAGAAAGGCAAAGCATCCTCTGCTGGGATCAGGCAGTGCACGGGCAGCTCAGACTGATCACAAATGTCACGTTGTTGTTTACAGACCAAAATGACCAACTGAAACCCCTCAAGTGAAGACAGTGGATTTTTTCTGCTGGACTGGGGTAAAATGACAGAAGAATTTGGCTCCAAAGGCATTTAAACCTCGGGGGTTTTTTTGTTTTCATCCTATCCTAAAAGAGCCAACCTGTGTTCTTCCTCTTGGAAGAAAAATTTCTCCAGTATGAGTAAGGAAAATAAAGGAAAAAATGGTTAGAAGGTGAATGTTACCTTTTTCCTGAGCCATTTCCTGCAGGCAGAAGTAAATTACTCTGGCACCCAGGCTGAAGCCAATCAGTGTGACAGGTCTCTGGCCCTGAGAAAGAAGGAGAGGAAAAAATGTCACCAAATGGTGTTTTCTCTGGAAAGAGATCAGGATGGGGATCCCTGAGAGCCCGAGACACAGAGCACCTGCTTGTGCATCACCTTTGAAATAGTGGAGCAATTTGGTTGGTTTCAAAGGGATCAGGTCTCCTCAAAGTTATGCCCAGTTCAACGTGGAGAATGCTACATATGTGTATTTTGTATGTTTTGATCTTCAGAAAATCAACTGAAAACTAGTGATCAGAAGTTACAATGAAGGGGATGTCTCAAACAGGACCAAAAGAGATGCTGCTCTTGGTTTGAAATTTCCAAATTAAAACCTTATTCAAGGAACAAAATTTTCCTAGAAATGTTTCAATACACAGAGGAAGAAGCCATAATACAAAAATACTGACCACTTCCAGATTTCAGGCTGAGTGACAGCAGCAGCATGCGATAGTTATAAAAGATTATGTGGCTTCTAAGCTTCAAGCTTTTATTTTGAACAGCCTAATAAGATTTTCTGTAAGATTAAAGGGAGCCTAATCCCAACATCAATGAAAAATGGTCTTTGTAATATCCAGGGAGCAGGTGTGCAATGGACACCCCAGACATCTCATTAACTAGTTTCAGACTCTCCAGCACACTGGAATGTGTTTTCACAACAGCAAATGCTTAACAGACAAGAACAAATGCCCCATAGCAAAAGAAAGGGCTTGTATGAAAAAAAAGTTTATTGAGTTTTCTAGGATTGGGTTTTTATGAGAAATCAAGTTTGTTCCTCCTCTGCTGTTCCACCTTGCTGGGGCCACAGCTCCCCTTGGGCTCCCCTATGATCAGCAGTGACTGGTGTGAGACAAACACATGGCCAGCAAACACCAGCTCTGGCCCACCAAATGACAGCAGGTTCTTGGGGGGCAGAAATGTCATTTTTCAAGCCTTTTCAGAGAGACTTCTGTCACTTCTGTCTGGTACCAGCCTTTTCCCTTCTCTGCAGGCAAAGCCACAGCTCACTGGGCATTGGCTGCCACCCACTTTTCTCTCAGGTTGCTGTGCAGGTGCCTCTTAATGATCCATAAATATTTTTAAAACTTTGTATTTTCCTTTCCTTTTCACCCATCCTCACCTCCTGCTCTCTGACTTCCACTAGGTGAGTGGGCCTGGCTGTGTTGTGACATGGTTAAGCCACAGGTCATTTATGACCTGGATCTCTTCTTCCTCAATGACAAAAGCCTTAGGTTAAATGGAACAAATCTCAGCAGGATTTCTCTGCTCCACTTGGGACCTCCTCCTTTTCCCCAGTAAGCCAGATATCTGCTGGTCACCTTCATGCAGCACTCTCTGTGTTTTTGTTTTATTAATTTTTGTCCCCTTAGAAAGACACCATTTAACCAGCATGACTATAAAATTTCACCTCCCTGGGCCAGTTCCCTTCCAGCTGTTACTCCTGGCTAACTGTGGCCAGTTACCTGCTGTCTGCTGAGGAGGATGTGTGCGAGGTGTTTGCCCACTTCAGCAGAGCGATGCAGACACACTCCCCAGGGGTTGTCAATGACACTGGCAACAGTCAGGAGTGACGCTGGCCAAGTCAAGGCTGTCACAATCCCTGCAACACACAGAGGTTCCTTAGAAAACATCAAAAGCAAGAGAGTTCACTGAAGTTAAAGGCTAAGCCTAGGAGCTTATGTCATTTCCAGCTCTTCTTTCCCACTAGCTGTGCTGAGAAATGCTTTGCTGTACTAAAGATAAGAAAGAATCTGATGTTCTGACACAGGGGGGGTGTGTGCAACCCGTGTGTTGGGACGTTTCTGTGCAGCAGTAAATGTGTAATAATAGAGGGAAATGAACAGTCACAGGTGAAGGAAGGTGTTTCCAGCTGTAACTGTAACAGAATGATGCAATGACATGGTGGCTCAGCAGTCCAGGAAAGCACAGCTAAATTACAGGTGTAGTAGAGGAGGTTCTCAGGTCACTTCTGCTGGGCAATGCCAGCACTGCCTCCTCCAAAACATTCCTTCTTTAGGAAAGCTCCTTTAACACTGAAACTGCACAAGAGCCACTCAAACAGATCTGATAGGATTTACTTTCTTACCTGACAAGACAGTGAATTTTAGGGCTTCTTGAGCCATCATGTTCACAAAGCCATTCAGCAGGGAATCCAAAGCGTTGCCAAGCTCCATCAAGTACTTGGATTCCCAGGCCAGGCAGTACTGCTCACTCGAGTGCAACATGCTGCTCCACGGGGCTGTGAAGCTCCCTGGGAAAGGTTGCAAAGATGGAATTCATGTTTGGAGAGAACACAATGGCTGATTCCTGGCAAGAGGAGGCCAACAGAGCTGCAGGACACTGGAATATTCTAGCAATGCTGTTAATGACAGATCAACACTGAAGGGCAGAGCAGAACTGTCAGTTAATTAAAAGCCTTCCCACACTGTTCCTTCCCCAAACAATGCAGGTCAGGTTGAGGCAGCTGCTGATCAAAGTGACACAAGATCCCCCCAGTAGTCTGTCTTATATGGGGACACATGGATTGGCAACTACTGGCAGCTCCAAAATCACAAGGTGGCAAATTCCATAAAACTCCTGGCCTCAGTCCTTCTGTTTGAAGGACTGTGTACACAGACACACACTCCTGTAAGGAGGAAAATGGATGACAACCCTTGTTTTGTTCTTTAAAACATTCTAGCAGATTGCTAGTTATGGAAGAAGAATGTGTATCATCTGTAACTCCCTTTTACGGGCAAACAGACACAAAATGTTCCTGGAGGGACACACTTGCCTCTCTAACTGTGCCTGGGAGCCCTCCAGCTCTGAGGATTTGGACCTCTGGCAAGTGAAGAAAGAAGCCAAAGCACAACACTGCAAAATGAGAACTTCCCTGTGACAGCAAGCTGCAGCCTGGCAAGTGACAGGACGAGGCATCCTTCTGCATTAATGATATCCAGAGTTAATTATGGTGCTTCTCAATAAACTGGCAGCTGTTCAATCAGCTGAAGCTGAGCACATTAGCAGACAGGTAACATATTTTATGTGACAAGCTACACTGGAAAATAAAGTACTACAGACCTTTCAAGGTTTCCCCTGTAAGTCACCTCCAGAGTGCTGTGCTTAACAGGATTCACTTGACAGAACTTTCTTGCCAATAAACCTCATTAGCTGGCAGATACGGAGAGAGCCAAACCACACTATTTTCTGTTAATTCCTGGTGGATAAACATAAGGTCTCAGAGACACTTTGTACTAGTGCTGGCAATCATCTCCCAGACAGATCTCTTCTGGCAAAACCATGCAAGAGTTCCTATCAGAAACAATCCTGCTATGACTACTCTCAGTCCTGCTATCACCACCAATATAATGCCCTCTTTTTTTTCCTCTGTTTGCTTGGGATTGCAGATTGAGTTGCAAAGTCTTATGGTGAGAATTCACATGGTTCAGTTACCATGCCTTGGAAATATGGGGCAGACATGGTGCTTTGTGAGCACAAACACAGCCTGGAGCAGGACACAGCCACAGCTCTTGGAGCTCCTCTCAGCTTCTCATCATGTTCTTACCATATTTGCCAGTGCACAGCCATCCAGTGATTGCTATGGTGATGTGGAGCTGCTTCCCTTCCGTAAGTGGGAGGAATTCAAACTCTTCTATGGCTCCCACACGTTTCTTCATTTTGTATCCTACACACAGCCAGGAAGAAACACATGGCTCAGGGATGGCACAGAAAGGACATCCTCTGCTAACAGTAGGAGTTCATTAAGAAATTAATTGGGTAATATGGAGAGGGGTTTTTTTCCTTTCCAAAACCCTCAGTCAGCCCATGCATTTCTTATAGCTTGGTAAGGAGCCAAAATGATCTTTCTGAGGTTGTGCAATCTGAGGGAATCCAGCAGAAGGGGTTTTTTGCTGTAACAGCTGCTTTCTACATGGCAGCATCTTTCTAACCCAAAGCAGGAAGTTTTCATTTCCTTCATTAACCACACACCAAATATTCTTTCTCTATTTGGTCACCAGGGGTTGCACAGTACCTTAATCAGCACTGAGACAAAGTCTCACGGATTACATCTCAAATTGCTTCCCTCACTCTGCAGAGAGCTCAGTGGGGTCATTAACTGTGTTTGCACACATGATACTGTGCCCCACTGGCTGAGAATGGTGTGGTCACTCTGTTACCAGTAAGACCAGCTCCTGCTGCTCCAAAAAGGGATGCCATGACAGCAATCCCAGCAGTGGATCCTAAAGCAGCTGCTCCAGCACTCCCGATGATTGTGGCAGCTCCCGCAGCAACCAGAGGGGCAGCCAGGCCTCCTGTCAGACCTGAGGACACAGAAAGAGATATCACCAAACTATTATCCCTTAAAAACCCCAGGCAGGCATTCCCCTGTGCTGGGAGAGTGCTGCTACTGCTGCTGGAAGAGCTTTTTGCATGTCCAGTAAAGAGGCTTTCTGAGACCCTCCCCAGGCCCTGAATCTCTGCCCAAATTCTATGACTGACTCCAGATGAATGAAGAATAATTTCAAAGTCAAAGGAAGACTATGTGGTGATCTGGGGTGAGCTCTGTTTGCTCAGGAAACATTGATCTAATCTCACACTTTTGATTTCAGAGTTTAAGATCTGATCCTCTTATGACAGCAAAGAAGGAGAAAACATTTTTAAGGGGTGACAACCTCAGTTTAATACTTCCCCCAGTTAGTGAAGCTACACTGGAATAACTTTTCCAGCTAATTCTTTCATCTTTATTTTTGTGAGGCTGAAAATACTTTTCTTGGAGTCACACCCCTCTCTGTCCCTGGTGCTGTGTCCCCAGAATGCCAGGGGCAGCCTCACCAATCACTGTTCCACCCCCAACAGTTGCCAGACCGATCAGCAGGTATCTCTTCAGCTTTTTCCTTCTTTCCTTCTTTTTTCTTGAGACTTCTGCAGTTCTGTGGGGGGATTAAAAGGACAAAAACTAAGGGAAAAGCCCAACGGATAACAATGCTGCATCAGAATCTGCTTTTATTCTCCTCAGTCTAATTTCCCTCCCAGGAACAGTAAAAAGGAACATGCAGGTGTGGACTGTGACAGCACACTGAGATTTATGAGCATGGATTTAAGATTTAAATTGAATGGATTAAATGGACCACAGATTTAAATTGAAACAATTTAATTGCTGACAAAAGCCAACAGATATTACTTACTCAGAAAACCCTTCCTAATAGGGCTGAAGCTTGTAAAGAAAAGAAAGAAACAAAAAGTCAAAAGCATTTCATTAACTATATGTTGCCTAAGTGTCCTAAAAAACCACAAGAAAGCTAAGAAGAAACAGGGAAAAGTGTTTGAAATAAAAGGGAATACAGAGATGCAATTAAACTGTTTTTCAAAAGCAGTGTTTATTACAAGCTGCTTTCTAATTGCACATCACAATAATACAATAGGAATTAAACACAGTCATCAGTGTGCATTTAAGCTGTATTTTAACAAGCTTATCAGAAAGAGGTAAATAAACCAAAAATGAACAAATACTAGTTATTAGCCACTACTTTTGACTTCTCTCCAGTGTCTTTGTTTTTTCTCCTACAAGACGTCCTTCCATTTCAGAGGAAAGTGGGAGAAACAGAGGATACTGGAATAAGTTGTTTCAAGAGGAAGGTTCCTTCTGGCCTGTTTGCACAGCAGTTAATCTAGGCCTTGAAACATGACAATTTATCTTGCTTCCAAACTTGGATATTTTCCCTGTTAATCCTACCCTAATTTTGGATTTTCATTATCCATATAATTGCTTAATCTTTCCTGGAACCCCCTAAGCATGCTGTAATTTTGATTAAGACAATTTTACACGAGTCCCAAACAATATGCAGCTTTGTGAGGCGCAGCAGGAGGGGAATGGAGCTCAGTGGGTGAAATCCCTGAGTCACTGCACTCACTGGCAGAACTCCCATGGACCTGCACGTCATGGAGACTTTGTCTCCACAGAGCCCCTCCAAAAAACCATGGTTCATTACTTTATGCAGCTGCAAACGTGGTATCTGCAGAGAGCAGCACCTCTCCAATTTCTGCACAGCCACAGCCACTTCTACAGCCCCACGGACAAAGCAAGGTTTGGCTATCAGAGAATCATGGAATCACTGAGTTTGGAAAAGATCTCCAGGACCATCATGTCCAAGCTGTGCCCAATGCCCTCACCCTGTCCCCCAGCCCAGAGCACTGAGTGCCATGTCCAATTGTTCCTTGGACACCTCCAGGGATGGGGACTCCACCACCTCCATGGGAAGCCCCTTCCAATGCCTGACAGCCCTTTCCATGAAGAAATTCTTCCTGATTTAACCTGAACCTCTTCTGACACAGCCTGAGGCCATTTCCTCTCATCCTTTCCAAATGCTCTACTTTGTGCCTTAGTCACCAGTCTGAATGCTTGGCTTTGGATAAAATTGCTCCTGGAGTTCCTTATATGAGTGCTGCAGCCAGGCTGTTCATACCTAAGCTGGCAATACCCAGTAATTTCTGTTCTACAGGAGGTTCATCAGCTTTCACAATCACTGCACTATGTCTCAGGCTGAGAATAATGACAAGAGAGTTGGAACATGGCTAACTTGGAGTCAGTTGGAATAATAAGCAGTTTGAGTTATGTGGGGAGAAAGAGAGTGGCAGCTAAATGCTTGCCAATGCAGTAAATAAAAGGAGAAGCTCTGCCTGTCACTGCTTCCCTTCTGGAGCTGCCAGCAGCTGCTTCCTAATGGCTCCTCCATTGCCATTATCACTGGATTACCAGACTGCTTTTATCCACTGTGGTAATTAACTGCTGCTTCTGGTATTTCTCCACCCTCACTGAGCTCAGATGTGCAGCTTCTTGCCTGAACCACAAATTATATTCAGAGAGATTGTTATGGGGAATTTCAGGTGATTTTCCAGTAAGGAAAGGTGCAGGAGCACACATCAGCAAGCGAATGTTGTGATGTTTTCCAGTTTCTTGCAGAACTGTGTACAAAAGAAAGGTTCTCACCTGCAGGTCAGAGCACATTTGGTGCAACTAACATGGTTTAAGTTGTTGGAGTGTTATTCTTTAGAGGATTGTGCATTTAATCTCATAGGTTCTGGGCCTCAATCCAACATATCCACAGCAGCAAAGGCAGGAGAAAAACCTCCTGTTAACAAATATCAGTAAAAACACCTGTGCAGGAGCTGCCAAACCCCTGGTTGGTTACTTCTGTTCCAAAACCTCTTGCTGGTCAAAGCTGGAAGCATCCCAAGCACATAATGGTATTCCCAGCCCCAAAATCTGTGAGGTCAAGTGGTGACAGGTTTATATTCTGCTTCCTTTCCCCACTGACTCCTGACTTCAAACCAAAGAAAGGGTCATTGGTTCCCCACAAATCTCAGCCTCCTTTAAGCACAGCAACAACAATGTGTTCACACTGTGGTCTTGGGCTCCTCTCATCATAAGGATTTTTATTTTTCTTTTTATCCAACAGACATTTACTCCCATGGCTGCATTTTGGGCAAAGGACAAGCTAGGAATCCCACAGCAGACACACAGGAAGCCCACTGGGCTGGCAGCAGGGTTTCAAATCCACACTGTTCTTTCACTGTTATCAGACACAGCTTAAAGGCCCAGCACTGAGCTGGTTTCCACAAACTACAGCAAAACAGTCCCCATTAATACCAACCCTTGCTCCTGCACACCAAGTGTTTAGAAGTCCACGATCTTTGAGATTATTCTGACTTTCCCTTTTTACAGTGTGCTATAAAGTTAAGCATTATTTAAACACAGCTGTTACTGGAAGATACCCATCACATGCTGGACCCCATGGTAAACATCTGAGCTGAACCATGGCAAGGGTGTCGATTAAAGACTTTATTAGCATTCAGGGTAATCTCATAACCCGTTTGCTGAGTTGACAGATGAAAATATTTCCCTTGAAAGTCTACTACAGACTGTTTACTGCCTTCAATATTGCTAAACTGTCACACAATTCCTGCCTGATGAGAGGAATATAAAGATACTGCATTTTTTATAGATACCAAGAATTAATCCTATGTTAATAACATAGAATTAAGAGCCAGGTCTGTACATATCTGAAGATTCAGCCTCTTGCCCTCAGAAATCCCCCTTCAATAGGAGTTATTCAGCTGTCTCTTACAGATGCTTAAAGACAGATCCAGAGACAATGAACAGGATCTGGATCTAAGATCTGAGGATCTAATCCTGATTATGTGTAGGAACTTCATTCTGCAAGAGGCAGTTCTGTTTGAAGGATATTGGGCCAAGAGACAACAAGATCTTTGTGATGTATTTGTGCAAAATCTACAGTCTCTGAGAAGCAACTGGAAAGAGGAAAGGAGGCAGCTCAGAGCAGAACAGCCTGTACCAGTGTGCAAGGCCAGGTTTCAGCTCTGATTTTAAGAATGCTGAGCTTTTCTTCTTGTCAGTGCTATGAGGGCTCTGCAACCCTAATCAAGCCATAAATGATTACAGTAAGAGCCATGAGGGGAATAATCAGAGACTGGACTTAGGCACAAGTAATTACTGCTAAGTTTTTGAGCACTGGCAGTGTTTTTTGATCCCATATCAACCCAAATGTTCTTACTCTGATTCTTCCTCTTTTTGTTCCTTCAGGTTCTCAAGCAGAGATTCCTCCAGGACTTCCAGATCTTCCAAGGGAATTCTCAGCAGCCAGCTGACACGACAGATCAACACCCTGGCTCGAGCATCATAGGATCCTTGAAGAGAGAAAAGCCCAGGAAATCAGTCTGACCAGTCTGATGACACAGTTCAGTTAAGGAGCAGAGTACTCAAGGAACGTGTCACAGAGCAGCTCCTTCCCCCAGGCCCTTTTTTTCTTCCAGGAACACGAGAAGAGACTGATAAATGGAAAATCCTTCTTCCCTGCAAACAGAGCCACCACACCAGGTAATTCCTCTGTGGCAGGAAAAAGATCTCAGATCCTTTGGTCTCCATCCTCTGTGGTAGAGGCCTGCTGGCAACTTTTCAACAGAGAAATGATGCAGCAGGACCACTGCTTACTGGAAATATCAAACATGTCTGTGTGGGTAACTGGGCACAGCCCACCTCAACTGCACCACTGCAGGAAGGTGGCATTTTGTAAGAATGCATTTCCATGCAAAAGCTTTGTCTTCTTTGGTGGCAGCAAGAGGCACTCAGGAGTGTAAAGCTACACACTAGCTCCCCCAGCAGCACCACAGACAAATGTTTGCTTTTACAGTCCCTGCTGGAGATGCAGGAGTGGACAGTGCACTCAGACAACAGCAGACAACAGAAGTGAATACTCCTGGTTTTGTAAGCATGTGTTCTTCAAGAAAAGACATCTTAGAAGAAAAGGCATCTTAAATGTAATAGACTTTAAATAATTTGTGCCAACTCTTGGTTTTTCAATATGTTTCTCTCAGCAGCACCTACTACTTCCTGATGTTTGGCTTTTATAAAGGGTTCTCGGTGCACTCTGGGATGAAAAACACAGTTGTTTTTCTCAAGGTGGGTGAAGATATCAGCAAGATCCAATTACAAAGAATGTTTGTGATACCCGCTGCACGTAGATCAACTATGGCAATCTATTAAGATTATTTATTACCATCATTACCAAGATACCAAACTAATTCCACAGCCTTAAATGACACCCTTGATCAGGTTTGTGCGTAGTTGAGAAATGAGGACAGGATTTATCTTCACTCCTTCCCGAAATGTGGCACGTCCTGCAAGTCCAGGCAGGTGGAATGAGCCCCCTTCTTTTTTCTGTCTGCTGACACTGCTGGGCTCCTTCCTCACCAGCCTGATGGGAAGGCAGTGAGGCTTGGAAAGAGATTTCTCCTAAATTCCAGCTTCACAAAATAAGCAGTTTTGCAATAGCTGACTTGTCAATTGTCCATTAAAAATAAAGCAAGAACAAAACTTGTTTTGTTCTGCAGTGCAACAGGCTATCAGCAACCAGTGAGTTCTTTCCTGTGAGAACATGTTAAAACACAGAGATTTAAAAAATGCAAGTAGTGATAGAATCCAGGCTTCTTTTAGAAATGAACATTCTGTTCAGCAGACAGTCTTTATTTCATTAATTTTATCAGACTAATCCATGTAATGGATTGCAAGCCAGAGAATGTTTTATGTGTAATATAATATATGAGAAAAATCACATTTATTTATAATGGGCTTCACAGGACACTCTGGAATTTATACCCTGATATATTTTTTTTCTTTTAGGCAACCAGCAGAAAATATTTTAGGCTGAGATTTTCATAACAGCTTTACTGCCTTCCTAAAGGAAGAGATCACCTGATTCCCTGGAAACACTGGAGCAAAATCACCCCACTCCACCACATTTACATCTGCTTGACAATGTGTGATGTGTGAAGGTAAGGAGGTGAAGAGCTGTTCAATTTTCAGTGGGTATTATTAACCATTCCTAAAAGAAGAGTTGTTTTTCCTGAAGGGGATGCAGTGAAGGAGTGTGCAGCTTTTGCCAGAGAGGAAGCTGAGATTAAATAGGATAGTACCTTTTTGAGCACTTCAAAGTATCAGATGTAAACTCAACTATATTATTTTTACAAAGAAAAAGTAAACTTACCATCTTGAAGAGAGAACGATAAAAGGTCCTAAAGAGAAAAAAAAAAACAAACCAAAACCTCAATTTAAAATTGATGATGTAGGTCTGGAGGGATCAAAATGGAGGCATAAAACCCATCAGACTGAATTACTGCAGCAGCTCAGTTCATAAGAGGGGAGCAGAAAGTTACAATTCAGTGAGGCAGCACAGAGCAAAACCAGTCCAAAATTCTCTGAAGGCCAGTACAAAGGGCTGGACAAAAGCAGATAATGCTTGGTATATGCTGAGGCATCCCACATTTTTTTGTTATTTTGTTATGATCCTGATCTTACACCAGACTTCAAAGTTTTGAGGAGCAGGGCTCTAATCCTCCCACTCTAATGCCTTCTGCTCCCTACAGTCACATATGCAACATCACCAACAGGTTTGAATGTTCCTCTAATGGCCCCTATTTTCTTTGGCATTCTGGGAATTCACAGCTTCAGGCAGTAAGGCTGAACTGGCATGAAGTTCTTTTGGATTAAGTGAGTTAAAAAACTCAGAATTTATGGCCATCTGTCAAGATTGAGGGACTTGCCTTCTGTGTTGGCTTTTTACCATAAAAAAATGGAAAAACAAATCAATAGATGGTTTCTATGGATAAATCCATGAAAAAGAGGCCAGTGTTTTTACAACTGTGTTCTCCTCTTTTATTGCCACTGGACAAATTCTAAGCTCTTTATGTGACTACATTAAGTACCAGCTCAGTTGAGCTGCTTCCCTCTCCTACACACAAATACAGCACAGCTGAATTTTACACAGAATCCTTTCAGCCCTCTGGGAACACAAAAAATGCAGCCAAAGATGTAGAAGGCTGCCAAGGAGTTTATGATTATTAGTCCTGTAAGCTCCCAAGCAGTTTGTATAGTAAAAACGTCTCTAACCTGAGAGTCCTACACATGAGAAGTGCAGAATGCAGAACAAACCACCCTGAACCAACCAGAAGAGGGACAAACTGCACAATGCTCCCCAGGCTGGCTGGTGGGGTGTGGGAATTGGAGACACCAGTACAGAGGGAGGGATGTAACTGGTTTCCCAAAGGCTGAGTACTGGGAGTGCCCAGGGATCAACTATGTGGGCACCATCAGCTCCTCATCGGTTCCTTTCTGGGGGAAGAGTCGGCACAGAGGTGTCAAAGCCCAGCAGAAGGTGTAGGGCTGGGAGCCTTGAGCAAAAAGCTGACCAAGCAAAAGGCCTCGAGTCTAGAATAAGGTGAAGCTTGTGACCTTGTTGCCACAATTCTCCATGGACTGCCATGAGCAGCCTCTGGAAGAGGTGATGGTTTGTGGGCAATAAACTCTCCCTGAGTGAGGCTCAGGGACCTGGGGCTGTGACTGATGTCCTGTCCTGTCAGCCCAGTATCACCTATGGCACCTCGTATCAAACCACCCCAGATAAATCTGGCCTAAGCATGTACACACGTGCCTTTCAAAAGGTCAGGGATGCAGGTAGGTAAACAGAAGATAAATTATAACAACTGTTTTTATGGCATCCGTGCCAGTTAGCACACTCAAATTTAGGCTGCAGTTTAGGCTGTGCACGTACTGCACATGCAGGCAGCTGGAATCCAACCAGCAGTGATTAGATTAGTTCACAACTGGTTTGTTTTCCTCCCTAAGCAGCAGTTGTTATATTGCAGCCTTATTCTGAAGTCAGTGTTTTGAATCTCCATGAAAATCCCATGACAAGACAACCACCCATATGACTGAGAAGCCTCACAAAAGAAGGGAGTCTTTATTCAGTCTTTGCCAGCTTTTTCTGAGTTGATGCAAGTTCAAAACCCATTTCCTTAACAACAGAGAGCTCCAAATCCACATTACAGTGAATGTGGGTAGGAAACCACTGGAAAATAGGCATTCCAAGTATGTTGAGAGAAAAAACGTATTCATAATAAGAATTTTCAACATCTAATCAGCTATCACAGCTTCTACACCTCTTTTATTACATGGCCTTCCCATACCACACCCATAGTCTGCTATGACTACTGTCTTTAAAGGATTCAGTTACCACCATCTGCCTGTGTGTTAGTCATCTGCAATGACACAAAAGACACAAAGATAACAATCCATAATCCTCAGATGTTCACTGAATCAATGGTGAGCTCACATCTAATCTCCTGACTTCATGGATCATCTCTTCAGCTCCTTTGACACAAAGGGCCTTCAAAAATGCAGCGTTAGTGCCAGTAAGGCCCTGCCACTGAACATACTGAGCAATTAAGAAGATACTTAATAAACAGTAAATATTGCATCAGCAGCGGCTGAATACAAAGGAGCACTAGAACCATAAAGCAAAAGATCAATAATTCATAAAGCTTTGTCCCATAGCTTGTTTATTTCCAGGTAAGAAGGAAAAAGCTGATCTCAGCTTATCATTTATGTTTGCCACACACCAGGGTTTTTTCCAGACACACCTCTGCTGCCTTGCTCTACTCAAGACTTTCATTCTGTCCTGTGACAAAATCAATCATCTTGCCCACATGCAGATGACTGTGTAAGGGATTGCTGCTGTGGCATTAGACTGATAGTTTTTCCTCATCTTTGCTTTCAACTGATCAAAGCTGTCTATTGTTTCTGTATTCCACCAAAATCCAGGGGATATCCTCAGTTTCCTGTCAGGGCAAAATCCTGTATTCTTCCGCTGATCCAGAGCCACTTTTGTACAAGCACATGGAGCCCTCATGCAGCATAGGCTCGGAGCAAGCACAAGCTAAATTTCATCCTTAATAAACTCAGCAGCAATGCAGGAAAACCTGCCTCAATGCAGAGATTCTATCCTGAGGCAGAGAGAATGAGGGAAACAAAGCAGGAAGCATATCAAGGCAGAAAAATATGAGTGTAGATGTACTGAACTTTAGGGAAACATCATCCAAAGAGCCACTTAGAAGATCTGCTCTGAATTATTAAGATTAAGATCTCTGTTGCTGTCCTTGTATTATTGTAGGACTTTGGGCACTGGAACATTTGGACCAGGAGCAGATCCTCTGAGGCATTTTGTAGACTGGAGAGAAAAAAAGGTGGCTGAGGAAATGGGAGCCGGTCAAGGTGACCAGAGAAGTTCACTGCTCTCTTATCTCCCCTAGCACAGCCAAGTTCTCACATCTGCTGCTCTGCCAGGCCATTGCTCAAGGTGAGTGTGTGATAACCCGTAATCAGCCAATATCAGAGCACTGGGTGCACTTGGGGTGTCTGGCACAGGGTGACAGTGCTCTCGTTCTGTGTGGCACCAGCAGCAGCCTAATGCTCTCTTCATCCTGCCTGGCATAACATGAGGTTGGATGAGGAGAGATCTTCCCCAGCAAAAGCAAACGCTGCCAAAATGCTTCACCTCTTTTATCTTTCCATCAGCTTTTACAACAGAACATTATGGAGCAGTTTCACTTCCTCAGTGAAAGAAAATAGTCACAATAATTTCCTTCTGGTCAAAATGTACTCTGGGAAAAAGACTTTGGAAATTGTGCTCCTTGGAGCATGTGTGTGGAGGTGGTTTGTGATACATATATAGTGAAGGGGCTTTCAAACAAGTGAGAATCATGTCTACTGTGCTCAGGGTGTCACTATAATCTGTACAACACATGTATGAATGGAGACCACTGCAGTAACACAACCAAAGTAAAAACTTTGTCAGTTCTCTGTTCTGTAGAGTGAAACCATCAAAGACACAACTCAGCAGACAGTGACCATGCTTCACATTCATCATTTCCGTTAGGTCTTTATGGATAGACTGCCAGTCCTCCCACAGCTACTTACAAATAAATGCCTATCAGAAATATTGATTTTATTTCCCTGACTGCACAAACAGCACTTCAGCTGCAAACAGACAGATATGACAAACCTCTTTTGCAAAGCAAACAAGGGCGAGGGGAGCACACAGACTTACCTGGGTAATGAGAAGTGGATTTTCTTTCAAGATGGGATCCTTCAGCAAAATTTCAGTGAAAGTTTCTGTGCCCTCACCTCCTAAGCCATCAGCAAAGGCTGTCATGGCAGGTAAGACAGCATCAGGCAGGTCCAGCCACTTCACAAAGCCCTTGATGAATTCTGTCCTGAAGGAGCTGTAAGGTAACAGAAGCAGTTAAGGCATCACAAGTGGGTATTTCAAGGCTCCACAACTGGGTATTTTTGGAAGGTTTGAACAGCCCTTGGTTTCAAACATCAGTTCACACAAAAATCAAAGCATCAGGAGTCAGAAGAAGGTGAATTGCTAAACAAACTGGCTAAATAAACAAGGAAACAATCTGAGTGGGACTAGACCTTGCTTCAGAACATGCTTTGATGTCTGCAGTGTTAAGGGATGTGTTTTCTGCTGAATTGTAAAAGCCTTAGAGGTGCAAGACAGAAAGGCTCTTCCACTCCCCCAGCTTCAGAGGCCCCGCACAGAGTGTGATACCAGCTCTGGCTGAGCCACCACCCAAACTCCACCTGGCCTGCCCAGGCCTAGCTCCACTTGTACCTTTGCTCGTTTTCAGGGAACAGCCAGGCGAGGGATATCCCGCAAAGCGCCGCGTACGCGAATCTCCCGGCTTCAGGCAGCTGCCGGCCCAGGAGCACGCCCGGCTCCCTCTCCCCGCCGTGCTCAGCCTCCTTCTGCTGTTTCGAAGCCCAGCCTTTCCACTTCTCCGCAGCCATTTTCACCTGCAAGTTCAAGGAGGAAAAAGCAGCAGAAAAAAACCAATAGCAAACAGCTGGAAACCAGGAAGTGAGGAGACAAATTGCCTTTGTTTTTTACTGCCACACTTGCTGCTGGAATTAAGTCAGGTCTGACCAGGTCCAGCCTGTCTGTTGCCCCCAACACACTGCTGTGACCGAAGAAGACACAGGAACAGCACACAGATTAACAGTTCACCAATTCTCAAATGTTTTGCACAAAATTAGCTGACAATAAATATTTCAACCTGAAAAAGGACAAGTTCCCTTTGGGATGCAAAAGAATTGGGCGCCGTTCAGGCCTATCAGTCCCACATTTACTGCAAAAATAACATGAAAATAAAAGTCCTGCCCCTGGTGCAGGGACCAGTACAGCTGCCTGGGAAATAATTTTCCTCTCTCATCCTCAGCCCAAATTGCTCCTGTTTGTTTTTTTGACAGCATTAGGAAAGTTGAGTCCAGCTGCAGCCTCTGAGAAGGACTTTGATGTGTCCCACAGTCATTGCTGTGCTTTGCTTGTAGTATTTCTCCTCTGTAAAACCTACCACTGCTCTTTCCCTAAAAATAAGATCCCTGCACCACATGGACCATGAGCTGGACCAAGATGTTATTTTTTAGAATGTAGATGTGCACACTTCCAAGTGATGGGCTTCCAGCTGCTCCCCTGATGGTGCCAGCAGCAAACTGAGACGTCAGGCAGGTGACAACAGCTAGCTCATTTCAGATACAGCCTGGATAACAACCTGGTCCAGGGCTCACTTCCATCACCTGCAATTTCTACTGATTACCTTAAGATCCAATCAGTTTCTAAGGGGCCCAAATCACCCATTTTATTTTATAGTTCAAATTAAAGTATTTCCTTTCTTCCACACCCTGGCTAAATAGGAATTAGGAGCCCATGACACTACAAGTGACTCCCAGGGGATGCAGACCATTTATGGATCATTTCAGAGCCCTAAAAGAAAAAACTGCAACAGGAGCTGCTCTTTTAAAAGAGATTTTATTATTTGCATGCCATCTGTCATGGTCCTTTAGGAAAGGTGCCTGTCCTGCCTTCCCACTCAGAAACCCTAAACATCCAAACTTCCAGACCAGTTTTCCCAGGAATAATCTAACGCTAAAGTTTCAATAATTCTACAATTATTTGTCATGTCTGCTTACCTCTGTATACATTATGGGAGACAGCACTGAAAATAAAACTCCCTTCCCTGACAGATGTATTGATTTCTTAACTTGGGCTCATAAGAAAAGAGTAGCAGCTAAAACAGATCCATGAGCAGTACAACTGTTTAACCTAATTTCCTAATAACATAAAATATAGAGCAATAATGGAGCAACACCACAATGGCTCCTGGCATGCAACAAATCATTCAGAGTGCTGAGTAGCTAAAATACCCAGAGAAAGTTTCTGAAAGGCTTTGCTCTGAAGATGATCAATGTACTTCCCTCTACACAGGTATATTTTTCCTTATAAACATGTAGGAAATAATAGGCTTGGAATTTTTAGACATACAGCTTAAAAAAAGGGCAATGTACGATTTACTAAAGAAAACTTGGGCCAAGAAGTTTTGCCACAAATCCAAGATGAGGGAATTGAGAGTTAGAAACATATTCCAGAAGTTATTTATTCCAAAAGCTTTTAAGTCTCATGGCACTGGAATTCCTATCCCTATCTCGAACAATGTAGTTCAGCAATCAACAGCATTGCCGTAATCTGAAATGTCGCTTGAAAGAGAATTTTTTATCACTTCCAGCTCTCATTTTTCAAACAAAGCTCTTTGTTTTCTTGAGAAATTATGTATTTTATACAGCAGATAACACAATCCTGTTTGGAAAGCAGAAAGATTATTCCTCTGGGCTCTAAAGCTGTACGATACACGTGCTCCCTGCAGCTGAAAGAGGAAATAGAGATAGGCTGGCATCGTGTTTGTACTAAACTGTGACAAAGGCAACCAAACCATCATCTCCACAACCTCCCAAAGTTAATGAGGCATTTCATTAACTTCAGAGGAGCGGTCGTAGGTAATTATTCAGACGGGGCTGGCCAAAGAGCTCCGTGTAAGGCACAGTGGGGAAAGCACAGCCCAGCTGTGGTTACGCATCGCACACAACGCTGTGCCTGTGGAAACATTTGGGCAAAAGAGATTTTTTTGGGCACCTGCACATGACTCCAGAGGTGCTGGAAGCATCACAGCCTCTGCTTTTAATCTGTAGATATGAGGTATAAACATGAAATGCCACTAATCCAGTTCTGTCTCCATAGAAGAACACACAAATATGTTATGGATGGGCACAGGGATCAGAGCCCGAGGGGACAGGGACACGGAGAAGCCCAAAGCAGAAGTAGTTAGAAAAGTGAGCGTGTTTAATTCAGTTAAGGTTTGCATCCTAAGGTGTGCACAGCAACGGCTGAGAAGCGATGTCCTCACAGTGAAGTGAGCAAAGCTGCGGAGAGGGAACAGCACATCGAGAAGCGTGAAGGCAGCACCTCAGCTGGGGAAGCTGTGAGGGCGGACACCGCCACAGCTGCCCGTGGTCACATTTACCACAAGTCCTTCACGTCTGAAGTCTCTGCTGATCCAACACAGCACCTGTTTACGGAAAGCGGCGCTTCGGGCCACGCTGAGGGGAGGGAAGCAGCGGCCGGAACAAGGGAGCGGCCTGAGGGGACGGTCCCGCCCGCTCGCCCCTCAGCCCGCGGCGCTGCCCCCGCCCAGCCCCTCTCCCGCCCGGCCCGGCCCGGCCCCGACCTGCCGCCGACCCGGCCGAGTCCCGAGCACCGGGAACCGAGCACCGACTACCGCCGCCAGCGCCCGCCCCTTCCTGCCCGGGCCGGGCTGGCCGCCGGCACTGCGCCATCGGCGCTGCCGAGTGCGTGGGGAGGGCGGGAGCGGCGCTGGGCTGAGGGGATGGAGGGCACTGAGGGATCACAGAATATTCTGAACTGGAGGGGACCGCAGTGGTCATGAAATCCAACTCCTGAAGTGAATGGCCCATAGAAGGGATCAAACCCACGATCTCGGTGTTGTCAGTACCATGCTCCAACCAACCGAGCTGACCCCGGGATCCCCTGAGGGCATGGTGAGGGATGAGGGGGTGGTGAGGGATGAGGTGATGCTGCCTAGCCCCATTTCTCATTATAATTCCCTCTATCAGGCCACAGTGTATTACCCAGTCCCTATATGAAATCAGGAGCTAGCCAGGTAAGGTAAGCAGGGCATGGGACTTCAGAGTTGAAACTTTCTTAACAAAATGACCAGCATGAATTAAAGTTGAGTACAAGCAAATCCTTTACATTTTGGAATAGGAATATAATCCCATTAGCCTTTTCTCTATAAACTTAATTGCCGCTTCAAAGTCTTGCATGGTTATTGAGCCTAATTATCTTGTCAGATGGGAATCTGTTCAAAAGATAGCAGGTTCCAGAGCCTCATGGCTGCCACCAGCATGGGTGAGCTCTGAACCACCTGGCTGTTAGTGGCTCTCAGGCTGGAAAACATTTCAGTGCAACTGCTGAAGGAAAACTTGGAAGGTGCTGCTCTATAACTCTGTGGATCCATAAGGATTCTTTCAGAGGGCCAGTCTTGCCCTGGAAATCAAACTTTTGTATGCTTTCTTTTTTTTTTTTTTTTTTTTTTTTTTTTTTTTTTTTTTTTTTTTTCTTTAAAAGAAAGGGGGCTCTGTAGAAAGTAGTGTAGTGAAACAAATCTTTTGGAAGGGCAGGGTGAAGCATAGTAACAGATTTCACTGGTCATGTTCATTCTGTTTTGATTTCTTCACATCCATGTGCTGAAAACATACATGGGCTTTCAGGATCCCCTGTGAGTGATCTGTTCAGGCCAATATTAATTCATTTGCTACAGACCTTTACAGTACCAGTCACCCACTGGTGTTGGTGAAGGGAACTCGACAACAATATTGTCTGTGAGCTTTAAGACTTGCCCAGTGTTTCTGAAATTATTTTCAGTGCAGCTAAATATCTGGTCCAGTCTTTATATTTGGAATAATACAGTATTTGGGTTTAAAACTACCTGCCTTTTTTCCCAGCTGGAAAGCTTTTTTTTCTGGTTGGTTATTAGCAAATGTCATATGTATTCTGCAGTAAGCCTGTTGCTGTCCAAAGATATGAGAATATCCAAAGGATTTATATCCCTTGAAGGCTCCCATTCCTGGCAGAAAACAAAACTGTGTTTTCCAAGACTTTGGCTGCACAAGAGCTCCTACCCTCTTAGTCTAATCTGTTTTATCTGCTGTGAGACACTCTGTGTATTTATATACTGAGCAACTGCAGGACATCAGTTTCCATTCTTATCAAACACAAATATTTACCTGATCCAAGGTCTCCTGAGATCCTTGACACTCTTAAACATGCAGTTTAACCAGAGAAATCTATTTTTTTCCTCAGTTTAATTTTAGTTGGGTTTCAGGGTATTTTCTTAGCAACTAAGTATTTTTTTAAATGAAGGAACACTCCAACACTTTATTGCTTTGCTTTACTCACCACCTCAGCTCTGCAGACTCTCTAATACACTTTCTCAGTTACAATTCCTGTCAATAAGGAAACTAGGAATTGTTTTGACATTAATTGTCAATGAGGAATTGAAACAAAGAAGTCAATGAGCAATTCATATTATTTAAATTTAATGGAGACATTCCATTTTAAAATATCACACATGGTGTGGCGCAGTCAAGAGATTTCTGTTTACCTCTGTGAGCGTCTTCAAGGGCAATGCAAAGGGGGCAAGAAAAGAGGTCCTGCAGGTTGCCAGATAAAGGAATACAGGTGAGAGGAACTATTTCAGTGCTAAATAATGTGGGAAATGGGGAATTTGGAGGGTCATGAGGTTTTTGAGCCTTGCCCTTTGCAAGCCACAAACCAAGATCAGGAATATTGATTTTGCCTCTTCCTTTCCAATTTTGTGTGTAACTTCAAATGACATCAACTGACATCCCCTTTTCCCATCCCTGCCAGGGATTGAGGTGATAATCTGGGTTAAAAATCTCTCTTCCAAACACCCGCTCCCTGATTTAGCAGCCTTATTTCCCACTCTGTCCCAAGAAAAGATGTCCGTGTTTTCAGAGTGGGAACCACAACCGTGGAGTTTTGCAGGACATCACCTCCCAGATGTTCCAGATAACATCCTGCAGAGCTAATCAGGAGGGGACACAGACATGAACAAAATGGCAAAAGCAAACCAACACAATTACAAAAAAAAAAAAAAAAAAAGTGTGAAAACACATAAATATCAACATATAAATAGTTAATTTTGTTTGCAGTAATGAGATTTAACAACAGTGTGCATTGGCATTGAGCCAGCTCAGCCAACTATTGAATTTATTCTCCGAGAGATTGTTTTTAAGTCCAAAACTCACTGGTGTGCCCAGCATGCACCTTGGCCCAGTCCCTGATCTCTGGAACAGACACATTAATTGTTTCAGGCAACAGTAACAACCTGGATCTCCTTGTCACAGGAGGCAGGGGAGTCCTTCTTGCACCTGCAGTGGAATTTAGGAGTGCAGCAAAGCACCATAGACATGAGCAACCCCAAAGTAAGCAGGAGACAAATTACCCACTTCACCCTCCCTGAGTACATAAAGGGGAGGATGAGCATGGCGAGGATCACCCCCAGCAGCAGGAGCAGCAGGAGTCTCTGCACAGCCAGGCTGCTGTGTGCTGGGCCGGTTTCCTCTGTGTTCAAGATGTCTTGGCTGCTCTGAGTCCAGCTGTTGCCATCCAGCCCCATGGCACAGACGTAAACCTCAGGGTTTGAATCAAGGTTCTCCAAGCGCTCCAGGACGTCTTCTTTATTCTGGAGTGTGCGGATGAGCCCTCCTGACACAAAGGTGGGCTTTCTGCAGAGAGGGCAGGAGATTGTCCAGGTGTTCTCCTCTTTCCTGAGGATCAGCTTGAGGCAGACAGCGCAGAAGGTGTGCTGGCAGTCCAGGAGCTTTGGGACTCTGTAGATGCTGTACTTGTTGAAGCAGATCATGCAGTCCATGTCCAGGGTGGCTGTGTCTGAGCACTGGTGGTTCAGTTCCAACGTGCTCATTTCGGGAGAGTTTGTGTCCGTTAGCACAGCGAGCGGCCTTGAGTTTGGAGAGTCTCGCTCCAAAACTGCTGGTTTAAAGGCAGCAGGACTGTCTCTCTCGGTTCCTGAAGGTCTCTCCATTTCTTCAGTACACTCTTCAGTGAATCCCACTCTCTTCTCATGTGTTGAGTTTTGTGTTACGGATCCTGCTCTGCTCATTTCTGCAGCACCTCCTGCCACGGGCGCTGGACTGTCTGCCTCAGCCTGCAGTACTCCAGGAGCTGACGATCTGTTTTCCTTGTTTGGCTTGTCAGTGGATTTCTCCATGGAGATAAACCTCGGTGCAGCTTCTCTCCCCTTAGCTGAAGGATTTCCCGAGTCTCTGGCTCCTTTTATGTGTTGCTGTATTTCTGCTGTATGCCTGATTGATTAGTGAGAGCCTTAAGCGAGTCATGCTCTTACAATATGATGTTTTTATGACATGGGGACCAGAGTTAATGATTGACTTCCCAGCCAAGACAGTTTACAATGACTGATAATATCAGTGGGCAATTCCTGTCCGGAAGCAGACTCCATGGCATTAGCAGACCACTGTGACAGCCAGACACTATTATTAAATTAGAACTCTCTTAGATGAAAGCAATTTCATTGTTCTCCAAACAGTGCTCTGCTAGACAGTGACAGGCTTGGGGAATTACCTGTTTCTGACATTGGTGTATTGAATGCAGTGCTTTGATTAAAGCATATGTATCACCAGTTTTGGGCTCTCTGGGTAGGAAATTTGCTCTTGGTTTAGAAACACTTACTATCTGACAACACCAAGTGAAGAATGAGATTGAAATAATTAATTTGACTGTTGAATGTCCAATTGTTATTAGCTCTTTTATCCTAAGGTATCTCTTTTTTCAGCCTCCTGTTTGTTTTAGTCATCAGAAGGTTTCCAGTACAAACTGAAGCATGACTGAGGCCCACACAGGGTCTCTCAGAGTCCACGAAAGAGATCAGAAAACTAAAAGCAAGACCAGTGTCCTAGATGGTGGGACAATCTTCTTTCCTGTGGTGTTCACCAAACAACCTTGTGCACTTGGGAATGCCCTTCCTGACTGATTTTGTGAATATTCATCTCAACTGAAAAAAAAATGCCTGAACAAAATCCCTCAGTCTCTAATTTCTTTCTGCCATTTTATTTGAGCAGTAAAATACAGATTGTTTCTTAGCAAGAATCCCATGGAAGGAAGGAATGAAAGAAAGAAGGGAAGGATCACTAATCCCAAAAAGACAGATGAGGTCAGTGTTACCAGCAGAATACACGCAGTACCACACTGGTAGCCTCAAGTGCACCTGAATGCTCACACTGCCTGTGCCCCCAAGCCCCAGCCCCTCCCTCCCAGAGAGGAGCAGCAGAAAGAAATGAGACAACTGCAGATGAGGAGGGCAAGGAGTTCAGGAAGGCTCTAATCTCATGAACTCGCTGGAGGGGGATGAGGTGAGAACTTGTTCTTATTTGCTGAGAAATACAAGGTTTGTCGTAAGCAAACTTCGTCAAAGTGCCTGAGCACTGCTATGTTTCTGCTGATGTGGCATGTTGTGGTGCTTGATGGACTTTTGGATGACCCCAAATTTTAGAAGCCTGAGTATCTCTAGGTTGCAGAAGTTGGTATCAAAGTGCAGGAATGTCTGGAAGTAGGCTGGTGAACTGCAAGACTCATTTATCTTTCTAAAAAGAAAATTTTCTTTTGCATTTCATGTAACTCTGTCAGCAAGCTCATGCTGTTAAAAAGAACTGGGAAACTAGAAAAACAGATTTACCACTATTACAATAGTTTAGAAGCTTCAAATTTGCTGTGTCAGTTCCCACGTCCAAAATGGAAATGTCTTAAAATCTCCTGATTTATAATTACTAGAACATTATAAAAACACCTTGCAGATGTCGGAAGTTGGAACAGACACCAAGAGGGACAACTACACTCCCAACATAAAAAGTTTAGAACTAGTTGGGATAAATCTATGCTCCATGTCTATCTGCTCTGTGTTCTACCAGTGGGTGGGGGTGACTTGTCTGTCTTTTGTCTCTTGTGCTGGAAAAATGGTTTTTCCTTGTCCTCCACTGACAAAGTTTTCAGCCAAGCCCTGATTCCGGCTCCTCTTTGTCTCTGGTGTCACGAGTGATGCTCCCAGGCTGGCATGTGCCTTGTGCTTATCTGAATTGCTCACAGCCCATTAACGCTCCTCTGGCTAATTACTGCCTCATTAATCATTTGCAGTAAGTTTATGTACTCATACTGTTTTCCCTCTTTTAGTGTGTTTGCATAACAAAATGTGTTTCTAGAAATGCTTTATGTGGAATTGTTTATAGCAGGAAATAGATATAAAAGGGCAGTTGTGTCATTCCTAGTAAAATCCTCATGTGCCACAAGCCAAACATCCCAGAAGATCCTGGGGATAGTCCCGTGAGCTTCTCCCTGTGCTGAGCTGTGGTTCAGGCCGTCCTGACTCTGGGCAAGAGGAACAGAAAAATGATACACAAAAGTCCCTGTGAAGCCTCTTCTTGTATTCCTGGGACTGTTCTGTTGGTGTTCCTCACAAAGCTGTTTGGATGCGCCCTCTGAGCTAGGAATTGGAAATTCATAGAATCCCAGACTGGTTTGGGCTGGAAGGGACCTTAAAGCCCATCCAGTGCCCCCTCCCCTGCCATGGCAGGGACACCTTCCACTGTTCCAGGCTGCTCCAAGCCCTGTCTAGCCTGGCCCTGGACACTTCCACGGATCCAGGGGCAGCTGCTCTGGACAACCTGTGTCTCCCCACCCTCACAGGGAAGGATTTCTTCCCAATATCCCATCTATTTCTGCTCTCTGGCAGTGGAAGCCATTCCCCCTTGCCCTGGCACTCCAGGCCTTTGTCCACAGTTTCTCTCCATCTTTCTTGTCAGCTCCCAGATGAGAAAGGTACTGAAAAGCTGCAATTGGGTCACTCTGGAGCCTTCTTTTCTCCAAACTGAACAATCCCAATTCTCCCAGCCTTCCTTCATGGGAGAGGTGCCCTCTGCTCATCCTGGCCTCCTGTGGACTCGATGTGCAGCAGTTCTGACGCCATCGGGCAGTTTCTGTCACGACACCAGCAGAGAAAACCAGAGTCAGGTGCACAGCGATGCCCTGGGGGCTGCTCCTGCTGGGTGATTCCTTGAGCCGGTTCCTGTGGGACAAGTAGAAGAGCCAAAGAGCAGGAGGATGACAGGAAATCCTCCCCAAGAGCCCTGCTCCAGACAAATCACCCATCCTGCTGTGCCCCTTTTCCAGCATCCTGTGAGGCGTCTCCCTCAGTGCTAGAGGAAGCAAGACGCGGAGGTTCAGTTTATTGCACTTATCACATTTAATTAATTAATCATTGCTGTCTCGGCTCCGCTCCTGCCCTGCCGCTGCTGTCAGCCCTGTTCTCCTGGTGCCACCTCGCGGGTAGTCCATCTGCTCACCTCCCTGCTTGCTGCGAATTCATTTCGCCACGCTGATCTGGGGCAGAGCAGCGGTGGTTTGGGGTGAGGAGTGCTGATCTGGGGCAGAGCACACACGGTCTGGGGCGGCGTGTCCCGGTGCAGAGCGGCAGCAGAAAGCGCCCACCCGTGAGGTCTAGGCCGGGAGCTGGGCTGGGCAGCAGGGAAGTGCTCTCGGGCGGAGGGAGTGCAATTGGTAGCAGAGGCCAATTAGCCGGAATCCGGCAGCTTTTAGTACAACATCGGTGATTGTGGCGCTGCTTTCCGCAGCCTCCCCAGCCCTTCCCCGCGGACACACCGCTCCCGGAGCTTGGCTGCGCCGTCCTTCCCTGCGCCACTCCCGCTTTTCCATCCGCAGCCTCAGTTTCCCCGCGAGACCCCCCTGTGCCCTGTTCCCTCTCCCTTTCTCCCTTCCTCCATTCCTCCTCCTCGAGGATCCGCGGGCGGCCGGGCGGGCGCTCACGTGACCCCATACCGGCGCCGCGGTCACGTGAGACGCGCCCGGTGCGCGATCACGTGACGGCCCGGTGCGGCAGGCGCGGCGGCCCCGGCGGGGATGTCCCGCAAACAGGCGGGCAAGGCCCGGCCCGCCGCCGCCGCCGCCAAGAAGGGCCGGCGGCCCCGGCATTCCCCCGCCGGACCGGCCCCGGGCCCCGCTCCGGGCGGCAGCGGCGGCCTCGCCAGGCAGCTCCGGGCCCTCGGCCTCAAGCTGCGGGAGGTGCCGGGAGATGGGTGAGCGCCGCGACGGGTGACCCCAGCAACCCCGGGGATTCTCCGGACATCCAGCCCTGAAGGCTGAGGGCTTCCTCCTCCCCGGGTGATGTGAGCCCGTGTCCCGGGGGCCGAGGATTGTCCCCTCCCGGCTGAGTGGGCCCTGCCCTCCGCAGGGGTGAGGGCTTCCCCGCTGTGCCCCTCAGGGATCTCCGCTGCTCTCTGCCTGCTGTAGGGCCCGACGGCTCGGCCCGTCCCATCCCTGGTGCCCGGGGGGCCGCGGGCTCCGGTGTCCAGCGGAACTGAGCATAGGAAGGTCCATAAATGTTCTTAAGGAATACTTTCACCCCCTTCTTTTCTAGAAGGTGAAAAGGTAATAAACGTTCCTGCTGAGAAGTTGCTCAGTGGGGCATTTGTTTGTCCGTCGTTGCTTTGTGTCCCTTGTCGGTGTGGGACAGTTTGGCCCAGCAGTTTGACCATGACACGATCACTCAGACGCAGCCGTTCAAGGCCCAGGGAATGAGCACTCCTCTGCATCCACAGCCTTGCTAAACTGGGCACAATGAGCACAGCCCCTTTCCCTGTGAGCTGTATTCCTCCTGCTGCCTCAGACACACCCACTCCTCCTTTCCCTCCGCAGGAACTGCTTGTTCCGGGCCCTGGGGGACCAGCTGGAGGGGCACTCCCGGAATCACCTGCGGCACCGCCAGGAGACCGTGCAGTTCATGGTGAGGCAGCGGGGGGACTTCGAGCCCTTCGTGGAGGATGATGTGCCCTTTGACAAACATGGTATGTGCTCCAGGGCACGTCCTGGGAGGCATCCTTGTGTCGTGCATCTCCTCAGAGCAGCTTCTTACTAACCAGGTCCTCATCCCAGAGCTACCTTGGGGCTCCTCTCTACTTTTTAGAATCAGGGACTTTGCATTTATGGTTGTTGTCATGCTGTGGGAAGGTGAGCTGTTTAATCTGCATTGAATTTGTCCCAGACATTATTTACATTTGGGAGAAACTTGGAGAAGGAAAGAAGACCAAAAAGGCAAGGAGTAAAAATTAGGTGTTTTCAAAAGGAACTTAAGAAAAATTGTTTCATTCTTCTTGAGTACTGGTGGGTATTTGGCTGTTCCAGTAAGTGGCTGATTTCTTTGGGTTTCTTTCTCCTTGACACTCAGTATTTCCTCCTAGGAAGATCCAAACCAGAGACAAATACAGCCTTTGATGTGCCAGGTACCATGGAGATGATGCATGAAGGTAGTTTGGTCATGCAGTACATGGCACTCCTCCTTCTGAGCTAACAGAGCCAGTGGCCTTGCTTTGTTTAAGGGTGTAGTGCCTTTTTTAGAGATTTCTGTGGTCCTTAAAATGCATTACCTCATGTTGCAGCCAAATTCTTGTTTCACAGGTGGGATTTCCCTTCCAGAATTTCTTGGGCTCATGTTGAAATCTCACCCCTTGTTATCCCTCCACTGCTTTTGGAAGTATCAGAAATTAGGTTTCAATTCTTGTGAATCCTTTTTCCTTTAGTTGCCAATTTGGCCAAGCCTGGTACTTTTGCTGGCAATGATGCTATTGTGGCCTTTGCAAGGAACAATCAAATGAATGTGGTTATTCATCAGCTCAACACTCCACTGTGGCAGGTGAGACACAAAGCTTCTACATTTTTGCCTAATTTTTACCTGGAGGATATAAATACTGTGGAAAATTCCTGATTTATTAAAAAAGAGCAGTAGCTGCAATGTACTGGGCATGGTGCAGAGCTGTGCTTGGTTTTTGAAGAGGGGGAACACTTGAGATTTTGGCTAGGAGATGGGTATGTGGGGGCAGAGCAATGTGTTTTACTTGGGTTTTAAGCTATGACCTTCAGTGCCATGCTCTGTCTCCTGAAGGTCATACTGCATTTGAGCTGAGTTTTCTGATAGGAATCCCAAAATGGGTTGGGTTGGAGGGGATCACACTGGATCATCTGGTCCTGTCTTCCAGCCCCTGATCCCTCAGTCTTTCCTGGGCAGAGGGATGCTCCAGGCCCTTCCGCCCTTGTCCACAGTCTCTCTCCATCTTTCTTGTCAGCTTCTTCAGGCACTGGAAGGTCACAATGAGGTCACCTTGGAGCCTTCTCCAAGCTGAGCAATCCCAGTTCTCCCAGCCTTTCCTCACAGGAGAGGTGCTCCATCCCTCTAAATCAGTATGATGGCCTCCTCTGGGCCCACTCCAGAATGGAAAGAGGCTTCCCTAATGAGAGCTAAATTGGCTCATTTTCAAATCTTTCAAGAGCTTTGGGATTTGTTAGATACCTACTCAGGCTCTGGCAGAGGAGAAATGTTTAATAAGTCTTACCAAGTTTCTGCAGTGGAATAGTGTAATAGAATAGAAAGCAGGAGTTAAGTATAACCAAGTGTTGAGTTGGAACCTGAAAGTGAGCAAGTGTAAAGTAGATGAATGGAGAATTATTTGTTGGAAAACCTGAAGTCATTAATGCAGCACAGATGGCAGACAGGGCTGAAAGGTGGCTTGGTGTGTGGTCTGGGAGCTGAGTGAGATAAGGCAGTTCACAGACGTAAAAGGGTTGGGAAACTCTGAAGCCCTAAAGCAAGGAGTTCTGGTCCTTTGCTTGCTGACGTCTGGAGAGCTGTTGGGTGAACTTGGGCTGGCAGGTCAAGCCAAGCTGGTCTGCAAGTGCAGTGGGATTTTCTGCATTTCTGGCAGGAGCTGGAATGCTGTGTAGCTCTTATCTAATAGTTTGAGACACCGATAATCAGGGTAGGAACTATTCTCACATCAGTATAGATAATACTCAGAGCAGGAATTTTCTGTGGAAATTGCTGTAACTTGGTGCTGACGAAGCAAAGCAACATTTGGTTGTTAACAGTGCTCCTGAATGGAGTTAATACATTTTCATGGATTTGCTTTCCTTTAAAAACAAAACACAGCTGCTTGGAATGCTGTTAAAACAGCATCTTGTCCCGGCTGCAAATCAAAATTTACTCTGAGTGACTGTTTCCAGTGTTGCTGTCACTTGAATGGCCTCTCTTCCCTCGTATTTGAGAGTAAAATGACATGGTACATTCCCTGGGAGCTCTTGCTGAAGCTGGTTCTGGGAAGATGATCAGAAAACAGCTCCTGTGGAAAGTTCAGGAAATAGTTCTGAGCTTTCCACAAAAATATTTTCATTCCACGTTTTGTTTGTTCTGATGTAACTGCCCAATATTTTACATCTGGCTTTCATACCTTCTTCTCTTCCCGTTTCAAACGCTCCAGCAACCAGTCCTTCTTCCTTCCCGGTGTTTGCCATCGCTGCAAAAAACGAAAACTCAGAAAAATGGGGCGCTGAAGCCGATTCCAAAGGCTCACTTGCAGTTTGTTTGTTTTGTTGAGATCCGCGGCACAGACAGGAGCGATGCCCGGGAGCTGCACATCGCCTACAGGCACGGCGAGCACTACGACAGCGTCAGGAGGCTCAGCGACGACTCGGAGGCGCCGGCCTGCCTGAGGATGGAGGTGGGTTCTGATGGAATGAGCCAGCTCGGGGTGACACACTGTGGGGTTGTATTCGAGGGTCCCGGGACGAGGGAAGAGATGAGAATCTTGACTCCATGTTTCAGAAGGCTGATTTATTATATTATGATATTATATTATATTAAAGTGCTATACTAAAATTATACTAAAAAGAATAGAGAGTAAGGATCCATCAGAAAGCTGGAAAGGAAAGAATGGAATGAATAACAAAAACACGTGACTCTCAAGAGAGTCCACACAGCTGGATCTGTGACAGGTTATTAAGTAGAAACAACTCACATGGACCAATCACAGATGCACCTGTTGGTAAACAATGGACCACATTCCACAGCCATCAGATAGTTATTGTTTATATTTCTTTTCTGAGGCTTCTCAGCTAGAATAGGAGAAAAATCCTAGCAAAGGATTTTCATAAAAATATCATGGTGACAACAAAGAGCTGGGGAATGCTGCCAGCTGATTTCCATTCTCACTTGGGATGGAGGGAGGAGCTGGGTTGCTGTGTTGTGCTGGGACAGCAAAGCCCTGAGGTTGTAGCTCATGCTGCTGGCTCTCTCGGGAGGGGCTGCAAGGAGGATTTCAGCCTCTGGGCTGGAAATGAATTCAAAGCTGATGCTGTGATGTGGGCTGTCTGGAAGCAAATTATGTAATCATGCACCTCAAATGGAAAAACAGAGGGAAGGGAGGAAAGAGCTGGAAATGCAACAGCTGGATATGGTTGTCTTCCTCGTATCTCCTTTTTTGATGTTGAGGAGCAGTTGTGCTGTGCTTGAGGTTCTCTGCACACAGCTGAGGTGTGGTATTGTATTAAAAATATTCCATTTAAAAGCTCGTTTATTGTGATTCATTATGTTGTAGTACACTGGAGTTTGTTCAGCAGTGCAGGAGATGTGGGAAGCCCTCAGGGATGGTGGCAGTTACACAGTTTCCAAGAGGGTTTGACAAGGGATGTTCCTGAGAAAAGTGTTCCATGATAATTACTATTCTTAGGATGCCAGACTTTGTTGTATTGCATGCTTGTGTGATCTGCTGGGTGTGTGATCAGTGTGACCTGCTGGGCTTTGATCTTCTTCAGATGCTTTGCAAGAACGATTCAAATAAGGCAGGGGAAGTGAAGCCACAGAAGGGCAACTCTGAAGATGAGACTGAGGTGGAGATGGAAGATGCTGTACAAAAAGTGTGCAGTGCAACTGGGTGTTCAGTAAGTATTGAGGAGCCTTTCTGGGCTTAATGTTCAAACCTTGATACATGGAAGCAGTCCTGGGAAAAATTCTAAAAAACTCATATCGTACAAACTTGAGTACCATGGCCATCAATCAGGGTGCATCTCATCCTAGAATCAACCCTTAAATGCAGGTGAAATACCAACTTTTTTGTGGATGCCTGATAATTTTGGAAGGTTTGTCTTGAGGCTGTCATAAAAATTCACTTGGAAACAAATCCTGTAAGTTCTGAAATCCTTTGGGGGTGTTGAAGATCCCAGATAACTGGATAATCTGTGACTCCTGGCTGTTGGCACTGTGCAGGTGCATAGAACAGAAAGGGCCAAGGGGAATCTTACACTGAAAACAGCATATTCCTTTTTTCTGATAGCTTCAGGAATTTAAGATTTTCCCCCTCATCCTTTCAGAAATGGAGCACAGACCAAGTAAATGATCATAAAAGCAGCAGCCCCCTCTCAGTGGTGCAGGTGTTGTTAAGTGTATGTAGGTCAGAGATTTGAACTTCTTCAGTGTTCTCCTTCCCCTCTTGTGGACAGGACATGGATTTAGTAAGCCACATTCTTGAGGTGGAGGACTACAACGTGGAATCTGCAATATTTGCCATCTTGCAGGTGAAGGAAGGGGAAGGAATAGGTGAGTGCACAGTTTGTCACTGGAGGCTTCGGGTGACCATAATGTTGGTGTTGGGGATGGGAGCAGGAGAGGTGGTGTTTATGTACTGCCACTTCAGCCTTCTGTGCTGAGGAAGGTTGTTAGTGAGGGCAGCTTCAATCCAGCTTCCAAAAATCCCCAGGATTTCTGGGAAAAAGAATTGGCTGACAGTGCAACAACTCCTGGGTAGAGCATGTCTGAGGAAAACCTCTGCTGTTGGCAGGTACTGAGGAGCAGCAGGAGCCCCTGGGCATGGAGCAGAAATCCTGCAGCAGGACACTGTGGGAAGAGAACGGAACTGGTTCAAGAATCTTTGGAAATCAAGGTGAAGTAGAAAACAACAAGGGTCAAGCTGGATCCAGGGAAGAGAACCGAGCCAGCAGAAACCCAAAGGTGTGTGAGGGGTTTGACAGCAATGCGAGCACCCTTCAATGATTGGGGGATGCCTTAGCACTGCTTACTCAGCAGCTCTCTTCACCTTTCAGTTAAAAAGAGCTTCTGCTCACTGCATTTTGTCACTGCTGCAGCTGTGACTGCTCTGCCACAAACATTTCCTGGTGACGTGCAGCACTCTTCCCAAAACAGTTCAGAATAAAGTCCTGATAAATAGTTAGGAATGTCCTCTGGCAGCTGCCTTGGTATCTGCTTGTCTCCTTTATTACTTTTCCCCAGCTGAGCAGAGCACATGGGGTTTGAACTTTGTGTTTTCATCCTTCCCTTTCAGGTGGCCAAGAAACAAAGGAAGGAGCAGCAGCGGCTGGAGAAGAAGAAGCGGCAGGAGGAGAGGCACCGGCAGAAGGTCCTGGCCACCAAGAGGGACAGTGCAGACACCAGGACAGAGACAGACCCAGCCAGCCACGTCACCCTGGTGAAGGCCATGGCAGCCCTAAACATATGACTCAGTGCTCTGATGAGAAAAGCAAATAAAACTGATGAAGACCAAATTCCCCCAGGAGAATTTCCAGGCACCCATGTTTATCTTAAAGTCCATCTCTGCTGGGGTTTCCAAACACAAGAGAACTTCCTCTTCCTTTGCTTTGGGGAGGACAATTGCTCATTGATTCTGCATCAGCCTGTGGTGGGAAGAGCTGTTTAAACTTAACAGGAAGTAGAGACTTGGGTCTATAATCTTGTAGTTACATGAAGGTGAGGACCTTTTCTTCACACAACGGTGTCAGATTTGTTTTGACATCTCTTGATGTGCCTGGTTTTGTTTCATTGGGTTTTTTTTCTTTTATTTGGTTATGCCTGGAGGAGCTTTATTTTACCTTGTTGTCAGGGAAAGCTTAACAAATCTCAACTCAGGAATATCTCTGGTGGATCTTTTTGTATTTAAATTCAAATAAAGTAAGGGAACAGAGTCTCAGAATCCTTTCCAAAGCAAAGTGTGTCAGCCAGCACTGTCTCAAATAAAACATTCCTCTTTTGTTTGCCATGCAGGAATACAGTGACAAGTTTTAATCTCACTAGAACTGCTGGCATTGCACTGAGCAGGTTCAGAAGTGATGAATACATGGAGGGAGACAGGGATTGCTGCATCCATGCCTGCTGAGGTTTGGGATCAGCTCCTTTAAGATGAGACCTGTAGGGGGGAAAAAACCCCCAAAACAATAATCCCAGTGGACTCATGAGAATGCAGAGCTGATTCTTCGATCTGGTAAAATGTGACAGGAGCAGGCTTGAAGTTTCTGATGAGTGTTGTTACTCGGACACCTGGAATCTTGTCCCCTTTGCCCTGTTCCAGAGCTTTTGGGCTACTCCAGGGCTTTAGTCCAAGTTAGGAGCTGGATAGGTATTAGTCTCCAAATGAAATTAGTATAGCCAAAGGACCAAGAGTCCTGAGAAGAAGCTTCCAGGCAGCAGTGATCCCTGGGAAACCTGCCGATTTCACTTCATAAATCAAGCTTTTTTCCAGGGTAGGTTTTTTTCTTCTTAAATTCCCTTTTAGTGAGGTCACCAAGTAGGATGCACAGCTTGACTCCTGTGATGTTTTCCACCGTAGGACTGAGAATTTGGATTGAGGTGAAAGGACTGTGGGACTCAGCCTTTGATTTATAGCTCACAGTGTTTCAGCTCGACTCAGGTTTTTGGGCTTGTAATAAACACTAAGCTTGAAGAAAGCACATGTGCACTTACACACAGGAGACACCTCATCAGCCAGGGCACAGGTGAAAGGGATTTTTTAAAATTAAGGACTATTGCATTTGAAAAATTTGTCTCTGCTTTAAAGTTTATAAATCAGCATGGAAATATTAATTTTTTTTTTTTTTTTTTTTTTTTTTTTACTGAACTGCTAAGAACTGGGCTGGTACTTGATGTGGTCTGCTGCTGTTACTTGAAGAATAAAAAGAAAGGAGATCTCCTGTAAGAATTGGTGGTGTAGGAATTCCTTTTTCTCCAAGACAGTAATTTTTACAGTAGTGGAAAGGGAGGTGAGTCACAGCTTAGTGGGGAGAAAGTGCAAGTTCTTTCAGGGGGTGATAAATTGTGACAGCAGGTTTGGCAAGGCAGTGCAGGTGACTGTGTCACATGTGTCCTGCCCAGTCCTGTGTTTTGGTCTGAAAGGCAGGTGTGTTCTACAGGTTTGGAAAGATAAGAAATTGCAGCTGTACACTGTGAGTAAGAGGTTTGATCTCAATGAATTGGGTTTTTGTCCTGTGGAGCCAGAGCTGATAAGGCATTCGTTGTTGCCTGAAGCCTGAGGGCTGTGAAGGGAGTTGGTCTGGAGGCTGAGCAGGGAACCCAAACCTCACCCCATCGTGTGTTGGATGAAAGGGGGGGGTCTGCAAAGCAGCACCAACAGCAGAGGGAGAGATGGCCTGCAGCTCGTGGCCTCTGATACATGGAACAAAGTCTGCAGCTGAAAATGCTTTAATTTTGAAGTGTAATATGATTAAAATAAACTCCTAATGTGCTGGGCTCATAAATCTTGACAAACCAGTCAAATTCCCTTTATCTTGCCAGGGTAGCTTTGTGCCTGCACAGCCATTCCATATCCAAAGATGTTAAAACTGATTTTGTCTGTTTCACATTTTTCCCGTTGAAATTTCCACCTTCCCAATCTAAACTTTTTTCCCTAGGGAATCTTTGTGCAACATTCTTCACAGAACTCAGTTTACGCAGAGAATTTGCTTTTAAAACTGGTGGTGGATTTTCCTGGGAGGAGGAAGGGAGGCAAGAAAGCAGAGCAGAACAACACCGTGATTCATACATCATGTGTGTTTACTCCTTGGTGGAGCTGAGTGCTCCGTAATCCACGGGCCAGGGATGGACAATAAGCTCTGGATATTCCCTTGGGCTTTGAGGAGGATGACTGTTTGTTCTTAGCAGCTGGCTGACAAATATCAGGGTGTTTTGGCTGCTGCTGCAGCAGGGTCACTGTGAGCCTCTCGAGGGCGAATAGGCAGCAGGAGGATGCAGAAAGCCACTCTCCCTGCCTCCTGTCTCCCACCATCATCTTCCCTGGACTTACTTTCCCAAATCCTGCCCCTGCAGGTCAGGAATTCAGTTGAACTGGAAGTTTTAAGCATTTAGGCAGGTTCTGGCTGACCTCCATAAACTTGTCTGTGTATGGGGAAGATCTTCTGCCCGTGCTGCTCAGTGTCTCCTTTCCCTTGTTCCTACTTAGGAGTTGCCTTCTGGTTTATCTCACAGCTTTGCCACGTCAGCCATGGTCTCCATAGCTTTGGGAGCTGCAGAAAGGGAGAGAAATTGGGGATGAAGAATGATCCATAATCCAGTGTGGGATAAAAGAAGATGGTTTGTGCTGGTGTTGAGCTGTGGGGTGGTTCCTTGGAGCTTCCTGGGTGCAAGCACCAGCCTTAGAAGGCAGCATTGGCTCTGTCTCAGCTTCTAGAATCCTTATTGCCTGTAGAAGATGAGAAGAAATTAGTGGTTTGGAGTTATAAAGATACCACATTAACTGTAGGAGCTTGAGGCAGGGGTGCTGTTGCTTGTAGTCAAACACTTAATCAAGCCAGGTAGGAGCCCTCAGCACTGATGTGGAAATCAAATAAATTACCCTTAAAACTCCTTTATTTTAGGCAGGTCGCGTCTCCAGAGGCAGCATTACAGCTGGAGGTGCCTCCATCAAGGCCCAGGGTACAGCCAGCCCTGGCTTGTTGGAGGTAATTAGGGCTCATTTGGGATCATGTGCAGCTGTAGTGTGGGACAAGGTGGCTGCCTGGAGCTGCAGCTTGAGGAGATGTCTGTCCACTAGAAAGAGCCACCCAAGCCTCTGAGGCCCCACCCCTGGGCTCCCCCATGCCTTCAGTGAGTATTAATTGCTTAAACAGTCATTAGATGTGGGATGGGGTTGGATTGTGATTGAGGCTCAACCCCTGGAGAGAAGCTGGGCTCGGAGCCTGCTTTAGGGTTGGGGTGCAGCAGCCACTTGCTGTTTCTGTGGGCTTTTTTTAACTCTGGAGCTCTTAAGATGTACTGGTTTGCTGCTAAAATGTCACTTCTGGTCATTTTTTAAGACAAAATGTATGCAGGAAGGGACATTTTCTTCAAAAAAATCAACCCCCGAGTTCCATGCTGTTACCTACCCCTCCCACCACTGATTCCCAAAACACAACACTGGCCACAATTTTGAAACATTTAAAATCTTTATTTGCAGGGTTTACCTCATTTCCATGAGTTATTAAACAACGGGAAGCAGGTTTTCCCTGTGCTAAGGGAAAGGTGCTGGACACTTTTTCAGTGCCACAGGGCTGTGCCGTGTCCTGCCTGGCCAGAGGGAAGGCAGAGCCCCCAGCTCTGATGGTTTCTGCCGGTTTGGAGCTGCAGCACGGCAGGAGTGCTCAGCAGGAGGGTGTCCGGCCCCGGCACTTGTGGTTGGGGTAGTTGCTGTAGGATTTGCGGTAGGAGCTGGCTGCCCTCCGGAAGCACTCCACCGCCCTCTTGTCGCACGCACACGCCCGTTTTTGGCATGAGCTCCCGTTTCCTGGAAGAAAATTGGGGAGGATGGAGGCAGGTGAAGGGTGTGAGGGTCAGGGGGTGTTTTTTGACCATCCCCACAGCGTGTGCAGCCTCTCTGTTGAGTCTGGGGTGTGCAGCAACCTGGCCCTGGAGGGAGCATTCAGGTCACTTTCCCTCTGATGTGTCTCTGGGTGTTTGCCTGGATCTCTGGGATGTGCTTTGCTGTGCTCTGTGGAACAATGAGTTCACTCTGGGGGAGTCAGGGCAGCTGTGCCAGGTCCCTGTCTGGGATGGGAGGGTCCTCTCAAACCCTTGGTGTTTGGCCTCTTGGGAAGGACAAGGCTCCTCCTCAAGCTCTAAACTTCACCATAATCCAGCAAATACTAATTTGCCTTATTCCTGGCACTTTTCCTGTATTTCCACCCACTTCACTGTGTGTGATTTCCAGGCCAGGATGATCTAAAGGGGATGCTGGAAGTCAAGCTCCCTGAGTGGGTGGCCGTGCCTCCCCGCTTGCAGCTCTGCGCCCGCCCCGCTCTCACCGCAGATTATTTGGTTTCTTTGGAACGCGTATTTGTAGGTGACCGTTTTGGGGCTGCAGCCGGAGGCAACCAACTTCTTGTAGCAGCAGTCGTGGGCGTGACAGCACCTGGGGGCACGAGAGCCGAGGTCAGGGCAGGGGACAGTTGGGACACTACGGTCAAACATCAGCCACGTGCATCTCCGCTATCGGCTGCTGCTGCTGAGCCGCTTCTACAGAGGCTTTAAGGACAAGCAACAACTTTCTCATGGCTATTTCCACCCTCAGGAGCAGGAGCGACATTGCACGTGCTGTACCCGGGGGGTGAGGAGGGAGCCCGCTCTGCCTTCTCCCCTCCCAGCGTACCTGTCGGTGGCATCCAGGGGCTGTTTGGAGCCGCCCCAGCCGCAGTAGCAGCCGTATCCGTTGTAAGCCAGCGCCGATTTCCCCGTCTTCAGCTCAATCATCCTTGCAAACTGGGCCAGGTTGCAGCTGGCAAAGGCCAGTCCTAGGACTGGAGAAGGGGGGTTAAGAGCATGAGGAAAAGCAACCTCCCATCCCACCTTTCCACAGCAAAAATGGGTATTTCACCATTCCCATGTGGCCCTGGACCCGGGAGCTTCCCCGGGGTGGGAGCTGGTGGGGGATACTCACAGAAGAGGAGCAGCGAGAGGAGCTTCATTCTGGCAGTGGCAGCTCCAGGGTTTGGTGAGCCCAAGGTGCTGCTGGTCGCACCTTTTATGGCCGTGCACCCTCAGCAGGGCCCCTCCTCTGGGGAGCCCAAAGTGGGCAAATATTGACAATCCTCACCATACTGGTCCTGCTGCTGTGCAGGTGTCCTGGCACTGCTGGAGGCTGTGGGATGCCTCATATGGTGGAGGTCTTGGCAGGAGGCTTTGGATGTGTGGGATCTTGGCAGGAGGCTTTGGACGTGTGGAGCAGCCTGGGGCTGAGTCTGTGCATGGCTCTGGGTGTCTCAGCATTCCCAGTGCTTCCTTGAGTAAAATGAGAGAACTTGAGGGAGAACAGCAACCACTTAGTATGAGGTGTCCTTGCCCATGGTAGGGGGTGGAATAAGATTGTCTGAGGAGTCTGTGATTCCATGGTCCACTTTCTTCCTGGATGACAGTTTTTTTGATGCCTTGGCTAGAAATCACCATTCTGTGTCTTACTGTTTCCATCCTGACTTAGCTGGGCAGGGAGAAAATGCAGCCAGTGCAAAGTATCCTCCATTTCCAACTTACCAGAGGGGGTGAGATGCAGCATTGGGAGTGGAGGAAGATCCCATGGTCTCCAGAATGGCTGTGGCTGGAGATAGAGCTGAGCAGAGACCATGTTTGGTGGTTTTCTTGGTAGTGGGGCTTCCTCAGTGCCCAGATGCCCCCTGCATTTGGGGATGCTCCATCCCTCTCCCCATGTGTGCTGGGCACTGTGTTTTGCTCTCAAATACCTCATGGCATGAGATGGGTGGTTCACCTTTATTTAGAAGCAAAATAAGGCAAATGGCAGGGAATAAAAAATGCAAGTGATGTATAATAGAAGGTGGGGGGAAAAGAGGCTGCTTGTGTCATTCGCTCAGGGAGACTCTCTGATTGAATTGGTGGTAGTGAGCAATCAGCAGACAGCTTCTGGCAGAGATTGCAGCTGCTCTGTGCTGCTTTTTGGGGAACCCCAGCATGGGCAGGCACTGAGGCAGGGGAGGAAATCCCCACAGGGCTGGTAGGGAAACCGAGGCAGGGAACAAGGATGCAACTTGTGTGGGAATCAGAGAGATGCTGACAGACGGGAACTCCGCTCAGCAAAATCTCTTCCCCCTCTCTGGTGTGGGTCCTTTGCCTCATCAGCTCTCTGGGCTAATTTAAGTAGTCCTCTGGGATGGTGTTAATTGGGTAAAGCAGGATTTGCCATAATTCAGGATTTTCCAAGTCCACAACCGGTTTTATCACAGGGGAATAAGGGATATTCTTGTCCATCAAACTGGCTGAGCTCCACTGAAAGCCTCTCCACCCCAGCCCCTCTGCCTGTGGCAGGTTTGCAGGGCCACTTCTCCAAATGGGAAATAAGCCCCCCCAAGCCAAATGCCTCCTGGGGAAGCTGTGGATTTTGTTTCATAGTATGAAAACCACAACTCTTGCAGCCCAGTTTATTGCAATGCTCTGAGGGGGTGCAGCATCTGAGCCAAACCATCAGCATTTGGAGGATTTGTATGAATGGATTTGTACAGCCGGATGTCCAAACAGGAAAATTCATGGATGGTTAAAATTCACCCAGAATTTACAAAGGGACAGTGTGATTATCTCAGCCTGCAATCTGTCTGGGATATCCATGCTCTCGGTGAGGATTTGATCCTTGATTTATGCCCTGCAATTATCAGCTGCTGGGCGAAGGGCTCCTTCCTCCTCTGCCCCAGGGTTCCACACGGGTGATTCCCTGATTCCCGGGTGGCAGCTGGCAGAAGCATCACTGATTTCAGGGCTGTTTCCTGGTGCCATTGAGTTCAGCTATGGGGCAATCCAGGGAATTCCAGCTGGGAATCAGCCCCTGAGGAAACAGTGTTTTGTTGCTTTTTCTGTGGCTTTATTTCCTTGCTGAGGCCCCCTAAGGCATTTGGAGCCCGGAAATCTGCTGGGGTCAGCACCCCAAGGCACAAAACCTGGGGATGCTGAAGTGGGGGGAAGCAGCCACTGCTTGAGCTGCCTTTTCCTAAGGAACGTGCTCAGGATTGTTGCAGAATTGGGCCAAACATTCTTTTCTGGTGAGAACTCTGTTTTGCTCAGCACTGGGTGTGAGGCAAGCTCCCGGCCATGCTGTCACAGCAGAGATTTAGGGGATCACAGAATGTCTCGAGCTGGAAGGGACCCACAAGGATCAGAGAAGTCCAAGGCCAGCCCTCCCACGCCATCGTGCCTGTCCCCGGCCCTTCCACCGGCCTCATTCTCCGTCTCTCAGAAAAACGGGACATTTTCAGAGCCTGAAGGTTTAGAGCTGAATTGGGGCAGTTCAGGGATGAGTTGTGTCACCTCTCAAGTGTCATTTTTGCTGAATACTTCAACAGGAAACCTGTCTGAGAGGTGAGGGGTGGTCGCTGGGCTCAGCTGAGTCACTGCACACTGGGAACCGGTGCTTTGGGCTCTCTGGTTTTATTTTGGAGCAACAGGAGGGAATTTGCTGAGAAGCAGGAAGCGGAGGGAGCGGACAGGCTGCCAAGGGGGACGCTTCCCATCCCGCCCCTCACCGGGACGAGGGGCAGGTGTCCACTCCTCCCTTGTTTTGCCGTGCTGGACATCGGGTCAGCGCTGCTCCCGCTCCTCTTGACCGGACGCTTCTTGTCCTCGCCTCGAAGCCAAAAAGCCCCGAGGAGGAGACTCGCCAGGCTGGGAAGCGCTGCCGGCGCCGTCCCTTCGCCGATCAGCCCGGAGATGGTTTCGCAAAGGGAGTTTTTGCCTCAGCAGCGCCCGGCTCGTCCCCGGCACCCGGCGCGGCGGTGGAGCTGGGCCTGGCCGAGCTGAGCCCGGCCGAGCCGGGCCCGGCACAGCCGCGCCGCCCGCTCGCACCTGCAGGCGCCTCGCTGGCAGCGCGTCCCCGAGCCTGCGGGCACCGAGAGCGCCCCTGAGACCTGCCCCGAGCAGCCCGGGAAAGGGCGCCACGAAAGAGGGGATGGTGTGGAAAGGGGCAGCCCGAGCCCAGGGACGAGCACTCACTGCAGGTGGGGATCCCTGCCCGGGGCACAGAGAGCGGCTGCACGGGTCCCACGCGGCAGCGCCGCGCTGCCAGCCGGGCGTAGCAGCAGGCTCGGAGCAGGCAGCACCTGCGGGAGGAGGAGAGCTGGGCTGTCGGGAATGTGGCACCGGCTGCTGCTGCCCCAGCTGGCACAGGCTCTGCGAGCCGGGCGGGAGAGCCGCCAGCTCTGCTTCCTCCTGCTCTGGATCACCCAGAAGCTTCTCTGTCCTGCCCGTTCCCACGTCAAGCCTCTGCCTCCCCGTGCAAGCCCTGCCCCGCATCCTGGCTTCAGGAGCGTCCCCCTCCTCTGATGGCATCCCATGGACCTGGCAGTTGTCGCTGGCACCACCCTACCGACTCCGGGATGGAGTTGGCGTGAACACTGCATCACTTTCCCTGCTTCCCGAAAACCTGATTCCTTCCTGCTGCTGCCAAGCACCCGGTCTGCATTTTGCAAAACTTCAGGGGGGCTGCTGGGGTGGTGCAGGTCCCCGGGGTTACCCCGGGGCCAGCGTTAGCCCTCTGGGGTAGCGTTGCCTGTACCGATCCACTGAAGCCCTCGAGGTGCCCCATCCCCTGTAGCATCCATGGGCAGTCAGGTTTCCTACGGTGCTTCCCTCGAGTCCCGGTGTGAAGGTGCGTGGGTGCTTCCCGTGCGCTGTGAACACACCTAGAGTGACCATAAAATGTGATTAAAATGTGATTTTTTTAAATTTTTTTTTTTTTTTTTTGTAAGTTACGTGCAGGAATGAGGCTTGCAGGAACTGGGGAGGGAAGGAAGCTTTGCTGGGAGTCCCCCTGAGGAGTGCACAGGAGTTTGGGGATGAGCCTGGCTCCTGTCTGTGGGTCGGGGTGCACTTACTGCAGGCAAACAGCATCGTCAGCACCAGCAGGACCTTCATCTTCCTCTCACCTGGGCCTGGGAGGAGAAACGGGACAGGCTCAGCCAGGCAGCGTCACCAGTTTGATAGGAGCAGCCGTGAGAAGCTTCCTCTGAAATAGGATCATCCCCAAAATCTGGAGGGAGGAAAGCAGCTGTGCCCCCTCACATCAGCGTTGCTGCCTCTCGGCCGAGAGCAAGTGGTTTCTGGAGCATCCCCCACCCCCTGCCGCCCCCCTCCAGCATTTCTCACCTCCCGTCCCACCGCTTTTGGCGCCCAGCGCAGCTCTCCCCGTGCAGTGCAGCCTCGCACTGCTTCCATTCGGAAGCGATTACACTTTTCCTACAGGCACGGGCCGCTCCCGCTGCCTCCCCCAACATCCCCCGGTATTTTTCTTTCCACAGCGGCGGAGTGAGGGGGGGTCGCTCACCACTTGCTCGCTGTCCGTCTGTCCTCCCGGGGAGAGCCTGCCCTGCGTGTCCAGCCCGCGAGCTCCGACTGGAAGTTCCAAAAGGACTCGTCTGTCCCAAACGCGGGGAGTGCTACGCCCCTTCCCCCCCGGCCAGCCCCCCTCGCCCGCGGCTGCAGCCTCGAGTGACGCAGGGGCCGAGACCGAGTTCTTGGAAAGTTTTGGGAAGATGTTGGTTATTTACGGGGATTTCTCTCCCTGCCCAACAGCAGCTCTCAGAGGGCCGGGGCTGTTGGACAAGAACGTTGTTTATTTCTGCGTTGTTTTAGTTTCCAGCGGCTCTGGTGCGGTCGGCACGGGCCGGGATGAAGGGCGATCCCGGCGCCGCATCCCAGCTCCCGTCACCGGCACCGCGTGTTGGGGTAGAACTGGTAGCGTTTCTTGTAGCTGCCGACGTTTCTCCTCAGGCACAGCGCCAGGCTGCGGTCGCACTCGCAGGACAAGAAGGCACACCGGGAGCCCTGTCCTGCGGGACGAGGGGAGCCCGGGTCAGCCCCGGCTTTGGGGGGACGGCACCCCCTTTTCCAGGGCCCTACTCACTGCAGGAGAGCCTGCCGTAGTGCCAGTTGTAGCGGTAGGGGCGTGTCTTGGCATCGCAGTGGTACCTCAGGAGGTTTTCATAGCAGGTATCATGCAGCTGGCAGCATCTGCACAGGAGATCGAAGCTTTAGGGGATGGAGGTTTCTCCCCCTCATGCCACAAATTTAAAAATATTCAAGAACGTGTCCGTGCAGGGGGTTTTTAAGTGGGCTCTCACCTGTCTGTGGCATCCTTGGGCTGCCCCCTGCCCCCCAGCCCGCAGTAGCAGCCGTAGAAGCCGTAATACAGAAGAGCGTTTTTCCCTGTCACCTCTGAGATCATCTGGTGCAGCTGCAAGAGGCTCCCGTGGGCTGGGGGCAAGCCTGCAGGGGGGGAAATCAGGGAGACCACACTGATTCCCTGCCCCCACAACAGCAGCTCCATCCCTCCAGCCCCTAAACTGGCACCAGGCTGGTGATGTCTTAGAGATTATAATGCAGCAGAGAGGAAATGTGTTCCCAGCTTGGCACAGGAGAGTTGTGGCATTTCTGGGAGAGCTGGTGATGGGGAGAGGTGGAGAAATCACCAGCCTGGTCCTGATTTCAATGGATGTAGCTGCACAGAGAGCCTTGGGACTGAGAGAGGACACTTACCCCACACAAACAGCACGGAGAGGCTGAGGAGAGAGTTCATCCTTCTGATGGCTCTGGGAAGGAAACCAAACCATTCTCTGTTATACCAACCACCTTCTTTCTTTCCTTCCTCATCACCCAGGAGCAGAGGTTCTCCCTCTCTCTGGGGACCAGGAGCAACAAGGGGGTAAAGATGGCCCTGTTGTTTCGGCACAAAGCATCAGGGATGGGAAGTGATGGGAATCAGATGGGGGAGAGGTAGGAAAAAGCAAAATCAGGAGAAAGGGAGAAACATTGGAGGGATGTTCAGCCCTCGAGGGCTGCACCCGCTGCTTTTCTTCTGGGCTGGCATCTCAGGCAGCATCTCCTTCAGTCCTGCTTCCCAGGCTGGCACTTGCTCCCCACTTGCACCACAGCTTCTGGTGAAAGGAGGAAAAGAGGGAAAGCAATCCTCCATCCCCACTTACCTTGGGAAAGCCCTGCTGCCTTGCAGTGCCCTGCAGCCAGCTGTGCTTGCTTTATATAGCTTGCTCCCATCTGCCTGGGTCTCCTTTGACCCAAATCTCGCTGACTGGGCTTCCCTGCAAAGGAGAAGGTGCCATCCTTCCCCTTTTGAGGAATGTCAGAAATCCCCTGAGGCCCCAGCTCTGAACCCCACGCAGGGGGTGGGTGCTGGGTGGGATGGGGTGGAAAAGCAGCGTCACTTCCAGCCTGAGGAGGAAGCAAACACACTCTGCCTCCTCCTCTGCCCTTCCCAGCACCAAGGAGCCACATCAGGGGGGAAAGAGCAGCTCTGGTTAAGCCTGGGCATAGACACAGCAAGTCTCTGGCTTTCAAGGAGGTGTAAGGTGGTTCAAGGAGAGTTATCACTTCTTTGGGCAAAGTCTGTGGGCAACACTGAAAGCATCTCTAAACGTGCAGTTCCAGAGTCACGAGGTTGGGCAGGCACTGGATGATTATACCCTCACTCACCATGAGAAAACACAGAAGCAAAATGAATATTCTGAGGTGAGAAAGTTCAACTTCTCTTTATTTCTTTCCTTGTGCTTTTTCTACCCTCTCATTACACCCTTCTGCAGAAACCATTCAGTCATCAACTGCCCTCCTAAATTAGCACTTGACTAATGTAAGTAGTCAAAGCTTTGAAATCTTCCTTCCTCTGTGGATGATTATTCTGTAACCCTTATTTCCAAGAACCACGGAATCCCACACGGATTTGATTTGGGAGGGACATTAAGGAAGGAAGGTGACTTGTCTGTCTTTTGTCTCTTGTGCTGGAAAAATGGTTTTTCCTTGTCCTCCACTGACAAAGTTTTCAGCCAAGCCCTGATTCCGGCTCCTCTTTGTCTCTGGTGTCACGAGTGATGCTCCCAGGCTGGCATGTGCCTTGTGCTTACCTGAATTGCTCACAGCCCATTAATGCTCCTCTGGCTAATTGCTGCCTCATTAATAATCTACAATTAATTTACGTACTCACACTGTTTTCCCTCTGTTAGTGTGTTTGCATATTAAAATGTGTTTCTAGAAATGCTTTATGTGGAATTGTTTATAGCAGGAAATAGATGTAAAAGGGCAGTTGTGTCATTCCTAGTAAAATCCTCATGTGCCACAAGCCAAACATCCCAGAAGATCCTGGGGATAGTCCCGTGAGCTTCTCCCTGTGCTGAGCTGTGGTTCAGGCCGTCCTGACTCTGGGCAAGAGGAACAGAAAAATGATACACAAAAGTCCCTGTGAAGCCTCTTCTTGTATTCCTGGGACTGTTCTGTTGGTGTTCCTCACAAAGCTGTTTGGATGCGCCCTCTGAGCTAGGAATTGGAAATTCATAGAATCCCAGACTGGTTTGGGCTGGAAGGGACCTTAAAGCCCATCCAGTGCCCCCTCCCCTGCCATGGCAGGGACACCTTCCACTGTTCCAGGCTGCTCCAAGCCCTGTCTAGCCTGGCCCTGGACACTTCCACGGATCCAGGGGCAGCCACAGCTGCTCTGGACAACCTGTTCTTCAAACTCCTAGCTCCACATTGGGATAGATTACAGCCCTGTTGGGACCACGGAAGTTTTGGGGTGTCAGGCACATGGTGTGGCTGAGGTGAGGGATGCAGAAGTGCTCCCCAAACTCAGCAGCCATCATTGCGGTGCCTCAATCTCATCAGCCCTTACAGAAAAACACCATGGAGAACCAGTTTGCATCCCTTTTATTGTATCTGTTATCTCTGCTGGGAAATGAAATCAAGAGAGGAGGAAGGGACAAAAAAGAGGAAGCTGGTGTGTCTTTCCAGGAACTGGTGGGTCTCCATCCATGGTGCGTGTGCCCTTCTCAGCCCGAGCTGCACCTCGCAGGGAGCCTGGGGGCTCTGCCTGTACCGAGCCCCCAGCCCACGCTTTTCTTGCTGGGAAAAGCAGCCAAAACCTGGAACTCGGTGTGCAGATTCGCCCTCCTCAGCACTGGAGCTTGCTGCCTTGGCATTTGAGCTTGAAGTAGAAGCGGTAGGAATTGTTGTAGGAGTGCAGGGAGCTCGCGAAGCACGAGGCCACCGCGGTGTCACACAGGCAGGTCTCTCTCTCGCACCAGCTCTGCTCGGTGCCTGCGGGGGAAACACGGAGCCCTGCGGTGCCTCTCCCCCGGGGGGAAGGGGAAAGAGCAGCGTGTCCCGCTGCTTGCCCTGCCCAAGCTGCCCACACCCCTGGTGCCCATTTAATCATCGCAGCCGGGCGGGAACTCGTGAGGGAGACTCTCGTGTGTGCCTTGCTGCGGGGCTGGGGATGGGGATGGGGATTGGGATGGGGGTGGAATGGGGCTGGGGGCGGTGCTGCTGCCCACTGCCCGGTCAGTACTCACTGCAGGTGATGTGCCCGTCGCTGGAGGTGAAGCTGTATGGGGTGATCAGGGGGCTGCACCTGCCCTCCCTCAGCCTCCTGTAGCAGCAGTCGTGGGCTTGGCAGCACCTGCGGGGACACCGGGTCAAAGCGCGGCCCCCAGAGCCCCCCTCGGCACACCTGGAGGCCAGGGGAAGGTCCAGCCTTAAACTGAAGGCGACCAGCAAAAGGAGGCGGCAAGGCAGCGGGACCTGGCTGGGGAACGGTGCGAGCCGCCCCAGCGCTGGGAGGCCTCTGAGGGAGCCGGGCTCTGGTACTCACCGGTCGGTGGCATCCACGGGGGTCCCGGAGCCGCCGATGCCGCAGAAGCAGCCGTACCAGCTGTAGGACAGCAGGGCGCTCCTGCCCGTGGCCGCCCTGATCATCCGCTCCAGCTCCAGCACGCTGCTGCCGGCCGGGAGCAGCCCTGCGGGACACGAGGGGCTGGGCCGGAGCAGGGCAGGGGGCATCCCTGCTCCTCGCACCGGCTACGGGCATCACTCTGCTCTGGCAGCGCCCGAAACTGTGCTGCCAGGATTGGAATCGTGAGAAGCTTTATCCCCTCCTCCAGAATTATGGAATCATGGAGTGGTTTGGGCTGGAGGGAACCCGCAAGCCCATCTGGCTTTGTTCCACCTCCTGCCATGGGCAGGGACACCTTCCACTATCCCAGCTTGCTCCAAGCCTTGTCCAACCTGGCCTTGGACACTTCCAGGATTGGGGCAGCCACAGCCACAGCCTCCTCTCAGGGAGGATGGCTTTTTCAGTCTGGCTTTTACAGCCTCTGGATTTAGTCTGGCACAAGATATTTTGCCCTCTGGACTGGCTCTGCCGTGCTGCAAGCTGCAATCCCCCATCACCAGGATCAGCCGTGGGCTTGGCACAGGCAGGAAAGGGAACAACAGGCTCCAGGGCCTCCCAAAAGCAATATGGACATCAGCACCTCAAAGGCTCCCCTTCACCAACCCTCCAGGACTGCAGCACTTCTACACGAAGCACTGGAGAGAAACTGCCAGGTTTAAACAAAAAACCTGAATTGTGCACAAAGACTCAGGGTTTGTAGGTGATTCTGGCCTGGCCAGGGGCAGCAGGGCACTTACCACAAGCCAGGAGCACGGCAAGGAGGAGATTCCTCATTCTGGGGCTGCCCTGGAGAGGGAACAACGAGGACAGGTGATGATCCAAGGCAGGACAGGAGCTTCTCCAGTGCCCAGAGGAGCTGGGTGCACTGGCAGTGCCTCAGGTGACATTGCTGTCACTGTGGGTGCACAGCACTGCGAGGCATCCCCGAGCGAATCCTGACTGTCCTGTATCCCAGTTTGGGGACGTTGGGGCTTGGCAGGGATGCAGTGGCTTGTCCTGCCTGGGGCTGCTGGAGCAGCTCAGGACCTGCAGCCTCCCCCCAGGCCTGAGCTGCCTGATGAGCACCAGGGCAGTGAAATCCCCTCTGCTTACCCTGCCTGGACCGCAGCTCCAGCGCTGCCAGCTCAGCGGGGTGGGTTTATATCCCTGCGAGGCCCACCCCCTCCTCTGTCTGTGCTGATGGTGTCAGTTGTCCTAAGCCAGGCTTGCCTGGAGCAGGGAGCTGATTCCCATCCTTCTCTTCCCCAAAAACACGAGTTTTCCCACAGCAGTGAGCACCAACACTTCCTCCATCATCCTGCTCATCACTGGGCATGAGGCCGTCTCCATCCCTGCATGAGGCCAGTCCAGGCCTTGGCCATGGCCATGGTTTTAAAATCCATGGGATTTGGTGGCTGGGGAAGGGGGACAAAAGTGATTTACACTCAGGACGGCACCTCAGAGGCCGTTGAATCCTTGTTCCAGGTGTAGAGGCAGCACTTTGGGCTCAGTATTTCCTCAGTTTTGCCAACTCACCCCCTGAATCCTCAAAGATGGTTTCTCTTGGCTGCTTCCTTGCAACTGTTCCCACAAATCCACGGCTGCATCCAGATCCAGCTGTGCCAAATTGCAAGGGAGAGCAGCAAACACCAGGATTGCAGTTCCTGGGTCTGCAGTTTTCCTGTCCTGCCCTCAGGTTTTTGTGGCAAGGGGTCTGTGAAATTATGCCACCAGCAGCAAAGGCTGGAAAAGCCATGAAAACCCAACTTGGAATGGTTTGGGAATACAGTTTATTTAATTACCATAGCCTGACATAATACAGAGATACGGGGGAGACAGAAAACCAGAGAAGATAAGGAACAAAAGCTGCTGTTTTCCCT